GCACCTGGGCTGACAATTATTGCCAATCTTCTTTTTTTTCCCCCTGCTTTTTCTCCTGGAATACCCCCAGTACATAGTTGTATATTTTAGTTGTGCGTCCTTCTAGTTGTGGCATGTTGGGACGCTGCCTTAATGTGGCCTGACGAGCGTTGCCTTGTCCACGCCTAGGATCCGAACCAGCGAAACCGCGGGCTGCTGAAGCAGAGCGTGCGAACTTAGCCACTTGGCCACAGGGCCGGCCCCCTATATATTCAATTTTTTAGTAGATTTAGGATTATTCAGATTTTTTATTTCTTCTTGAATGGAATAGAAAATTATTTTTCGAAAGATTTATCAATGTCATCTAAATTTTCAAATTTATTGGCATAAAGTTCATAATAAGATATTCATTTCTTTTTCATGTTTTAGGTTTTGTAGTGAGTCCCTCTCTTCATTCCTGATATCGACAGTTAACATTTTCTTTTTTATTCTTCATCAGTCTTAATACTTAAGTTTGCTAATTTAATTGACCTCTTGAAAGAACCTTTTGTCTCTGTTGATTTTTTTTCCCATTATTCATTTGTTTTCTCTTTCATTGATATCTGTTATCATCTTCATTTCCTTCTTTCTACTTTCTTTGGGTTTAATTTGCTGTTCCTTTTTTTTTTCCTTTTTCTCCCCAAATCCCCCCAGTACATAGTTGTATACTTTAGTTGTATACTTTAGTTGTGGGTCCCTCTAGATGTGGCATGTGTGATGCCACGTCCACATGGCCTGATGAGCGGTGCCGCATCCGCGCCCAGGATGCAAACCAGCAAAACCCTGGGCCACCAAAGCAGAGCACATGAACTTAACCACTCAGCCACAGGGCCGGCCTTTAATTTGCTGTCCTTTTTCTAGTCTTTTGAGATAGATGATTAAATTACTGATTTTCAGCCCTTTCTTTTCTAAGATATGTACTAAAGACTAAATTTCTCCCAAATGTCCAACTTTAGCTATATCCCACAAGGTTTTTTTTCAACATTTTATTATGAAAAATTTCAAGCATATAGCAAAAGTTGAGAGGATTTTACAGAGAACTCCTGTATAGTAATCACCTAGATTCTACTGTTAACATTTTTGTATACTTGCTTTGTTATTTATCTGTCCATTTCTGAATCTATGTATCTGTCAATCAATTCATCTTTTTGTATCCTCCAAGTTTTGATGTGATATATTTTCACTATCATTCAGTTTAAAATATTTTCTTATTTTTATTATGATTTTCTTATCTTATTGAGATATAATTGGCATATAATATTTTATTAGTTTTAGATACACAACATAATGATTTGGTGTATGTAAAGTATATTGCGAAATGATTACCACAATAAATTTACTTAACATCCATCACCACACAGAGTTAAAAATTTTTTTTTTTCCTTTTCTTGTGTTGAGAACTTTTAAGATCTACTATCTTAGCAACTTTCAAATATACAATACAGTGTTGTTAACTATAGTCACCATTCTGTACATTATATCCCAGAATTTATTTATCTTTTAACTGGATGTTTGTACTTTTTGAGCACCTTCACTCATTTCACTCACCCCCATTGTGATGTTTTTTGACCCGTAAGTTATTTCAAACTGTATTCACTAATTTCAAGACACTTAGATATATATTAAAACCACTTGGATATATTTTAACATCTTTGTCTTTGATTTTTAGCTTAATCCATTGTATTCAGAGGCTATACTCTATGTGATTTCAAATCTTTGAAATTTGTTGACTTGACTTTATGGCCTGGCATATGGTCTGTTTTGGTAAAGTTTTATAAATACTTCAGAGTGTTTTGTTGGTTATAGAATTTTATATATGTCAAGTTTTTCAATTATATTATTCTTCTGTATCCTTAATTTTTTTTTTTGCCTACTTTTTCTATCAGTTCCTGAAAAAAAAATATTAAAATATTTTGAGGCCAGCCCTGTGGCCTACGGGTTAAGTTCAGCACGCCCCTCTTTGGTGGCCCAGGTTTGCAGGTTTGGATCCCAGGCGCGGACCTATACCACTTGTTAGCCATGCTGTGGCAGCGACCCACATATAAAATAGAGGAACCTTGGCACAGATGTTAGCTCAGGGCTAATCTTCCTCAGTGAAAAATAAAAATAAATAAGATATCTCACTAACAGAATCCTATAAATCAATAAGAAGATATTTCAGTGTCTTATAAAGAGATTTCAACCCTGTAAAAATATGGAGAAAAGACTTGAACTTCATAGAAGAAGATATCCAAATGACAAACTTATGAAAAGATGTTCAATATCATAGGTCATCAGAGATTTGCAAATTAAAATCACAATGGACTAAATACTATCTCAACCAAAAAGGCTAAAATTAAAAAATTGACAATATCAAGTTGTAGCAAGGATTTGGGGCTCATGAAACTCTCATACATTACTGGTGGGAATATAAGTTGGCACAACCATTTTAGAAAACTATTTGACAGTGTCTTTTAAAGTTAAACGTACACATATTCTGTGAATAAGCAAGTCCACTCATGGGGATTTACCCCAAAAAATGAGTGCACATATCCACCAAAAACCAAGCACGAGAACAAGTATAGTCAAAATTCATAAACAACCCAAATGTCTTTCAATAGTAAAATAGATAAATAAATCATGGGATATTTGCACAGTGAAATGCTCTGCAGCAATGAAAATGAACAAACGGCTGCTGTGTCACAACATGGATGAATTTCATAGACATACTATTATGACACTATATATTTGAAGTTCAAGAACAGGTAAAACTGATTTATGGTGATAGAGTTCAGAATAGTGTTTACATTGGGGATGATACTGACTGGGAAGGGACCCCTCTGAGACTCGGGGAATATTCTGTATCTTAATGGAGTGGTTGGTTATGTGGTTGTATATATATGTAAAATTAATTTGAGTGTATACTTAAGATTTTTGTGCTTTATTGTATGAACTTCTATCTCAAAAAGTAAATAAATCAGGAGGGACTTCCAGCTATAGCTGAGTGAGGAGATTGACAAATCCTTAACCCAGAAAGCAACTATAAAGCTTGACAAAACCGTTTCAGCACCATTGAAATCAACCAAAAAGCATACAACAATCTCAGTAAAGTATATATTTGAAAAACTGGTGAAATTCACTAAGAACAGCAGGAGTCTGGGGTGTTTTTGCCGAGGACTCTTCCTGTTCCCTTCCCTCAGCTAGGTGGGCATGGAGCTTTTGCCAATGTGAATAGGCCATGAGGACTGGCAGTTTTGATGCTACGGTTGAAGGGAGCTTACTCATTTTGGGTAGTGGATGATGCTCATGCCTGGTAGTGTTGTCAGTGGAAGTGACCATCTTGGCATTTGATGAGGGGCTGGGCCAACGGCTTTACTAGACTGAGGTGTGTTTGTGGTTGGGGCAAGCATATTGCTGGCTGAGGTTGCGTGCAGGCACAGAGTAGACATGATAAGACCCAATAGAAAATAAAAGCCAGAGCAGTCTTGAAAATATTCAGAACTTTGAATGTGCTACCCTACGCTGCACATAGACACATGAACAGAGTACAAAAAGCCTTACTTGTTTCAGGTGTTTGGGCATAACACTTGCCTAATTGTTGGCTAACATCTAAGCTATACAGATGTAGAGGAAACCCTTTAGAAATCAGGTTTAAACATAAAAACAACCAATAAAAAGTAAATGAACTGAAGCATCAGTGGCTAAATACTTTGGGGGAGACAGGTTTGACAGATTTAGCCCAGGCAAGTTATTAAGCCAAGAAAGAAAGAAACAAGCAAACAGTAGTAACAAGAACAACCTTCATGGCTAAAAGAAATCAGAATCCAGAGTTGCCATGATAAGTTATTTAGTATGTTAAGTTTTCAACAAAAAATCATGAGACATGAAAAGAAATAGGAAAGTATGACCCATATTTAGGGAAAAAAGAAGTCAATAGAAACTCCCCAAGTGTCCATAGATGCTGGATTTAGCAGACAAAGTCTTCAAAGCAGGTCTCATAAATATGTTCAGAGAACCAAAGGAAAACATGTTTAAAGAATTTTTTTAAAGTACAATGACAATGAATCAATAAATAAAATTCTCAGTAAGGAGAGAGAGAGAAAAAAGAAGCAAATGTCATCAAAGAGGATATACAGATGGCAAATAAGGATGTGAAAAGATGTTTAACATCATTAGCTATTAGGAAAGTGCCCATTAAAACAACAATGAGGCATTACTACACATCTATCAGAGTGTCTAAAATAAAAACTAATGACAACACCAAATGTTTGCAAGAATGTGGAAAAATTGAATCATTTGTACATAGTTGATGGGAATCTAAAATGATACAGCCATTCTGGAAGATAATTTGGAAATTTCTTATAAAACTAAACATTTACCGTATGATCCAAGAATTTCACTTCTAGTTATATGCCCATGAGAAACGAAAACATATGTGCACATAAAAACTTGTACATGAATGTCCTTACCAGCGTTAGTCATAGTAGTGACAAAGTCAAAACAACCCAATATCCATCAATTGATAAATGGATAAACAAAATGTGGTATGTCCATACACTGGAAAATTATTTGACCATAAAAAGAAATGAAGTACGGATATATGCTACAACATTGAAAACATTTTGCTGAGTGAAAAGAAGCAAATCACAAAAGACCACATGTTATATGATTCCATTTATATGAAATATCCAGAATAGGCAAATCTTTAAAGAGAGAAGGTAGATTAGTTGTTGCCTAGGACCGGGGAGGGACTCGGAAGTAGGAAGTGACTGCTACTGGGATACCTCATTTTGGGATAATGAAAATGTTGTAAAATTGATTGTGATGATGGTTCACAACTATGTGAATACAGTAAAAACCATTGAATTATACACTTTAAATGGCTGAAATATATGGATATGTGAATTATATCTCAATAAAGTTGTTAAAAATATTTTTAAATGAGTTTAGCAAGGTCACAGGCTATAAGATCCATACAAGATCAAAAATCAGTTGCATTTCTATATACTAGCTAGCAATGAACAAGCAAAAAATGAGACTAAAATAGTTTCATTCATAATAGCATCAAAAAGACTAAAAGACTTAGGAAAAAATTTAGCAAAAAAGGTGTAAGCCTTGTGCATTAAAAATTATAGAACATTCCTGAGAGAAATTAAAGAAGAAATTAAAGATCTAAATAAATGGAGAGAGAGTCCGTGTTCAGGGATTGGAAAACTCAATATTGTTGAGATGTTGATTTTCCCTAAATTAATCTGTAAATTCACAGCCCATATCAAAATTCCGGCAGGCTTTTTTTTTCTTTCTAGAATTTGACAAGCTGATCCAAAAATTTACATGGAAACCCAAAGGACCTAGACTAGACAAAACAGTTTTGGAAAAGGAGAGCAAAGTTGGAAGATTTAGACTACCTGATTTGAAAAAACCTACTATAAAGCCGTGATTATCAAGGCTGTGTGGCATTGCTGCAAGGATAGGCATATATAGGCATATATATCAGTGGAACAGAATTTAGAGTCCACAACTAAACCTTGAATATGTGGTGGGTTGGTTTTCAAGAGGTGCATCCTTGATCCAAGATTTCTCTGCTTGGAAAAGTCTCAGTGTAAAACAGCCTCTCACAGTGTGTGCTGCAGTTTAACTCAGACTGCACTGCAATCAAGCCAGCTAATGCATCACTGTCTGCCGGATAAACTGCTCCGTCATCCTTGGTGCTTGGCATGTTACAATGCTGGGATCAGTGTGGGCTTCTAGTTGGATTTTGTGCCAGGTATGGGTCTACTTTGGACACTCACTATTTATGGTAGATTAAAATGAGGATGCTTTGAATTTAGAGGAATAAATGTGGCTTTTTATTTCTTGTGTTCTAATATTACAGAAGGATTGTGAGCAGCATCCATAAAAGATTAGAAACTCTTGCTTTGTTTTTGGATCTAGGTGTGCTGTGTTAGTGTTTGGTTGTTTTAGAAATATCCTGTTGGTGATAGGAAGCACAAACTCGATTACTGAGTGTGCCTCTTTAGTGTATTTTTCTGATACGATTGAAAGCAAAATAGCCTGCTTTATTCTACACTCAGTGCTTTATTTGGTGTTTGAATGTTGAACTTATATAACAAAGGCAGAGAGTGATTCTCTTTTGGGAACTGTCTATGTCTGGAGACGCTTAAATGTGTGTGAAATTGAGTTGCTTCTACATCTGTGGTCACTGTAATTCTTCTGAACAAAGGCCTCAGTGCTCTATTTTTGAGACATGTTGTTCTGAAGAGACATAAAGATAGGAGGGCTCCTCTGCGTCAGTTTGGTTCTTTAAGGGAAAAAGTATATTTGACTAACTTTGTCAGACATTGGCATAGTATGGAAGGAATGACACAGAGTGGTACAGACCAGAAAATGACCCAGGACTTAGATTTTTTATTATGGCTGGTGGTCATGTTGAGTGGCCTGATTGAGTCTTTTCAACTTGGGTCACCTGAGTATCCTAAGATCGAGGTTTGTTTGCTTTAATCATTTATCTTCTGTTTGATCATTCATCTTCTATCTGTGCTACAGGTCATTTGTGTACTTCTGTTTTGGTGCTTTTTCTGGAAAGTTAATAGGTCCTCAGCATAGTTTTATCAAATTATTGACTATTTCTATTCAGCATTTTGGTGGGAAAGAATTTTTGTATGGTGCATGAGTCAGGTTAGCTATGACTCTGGGGAATTATACCGTTCCCGAGGACTCATCTCAGGAAGTTGTGATTCTATAGATCTAGCTGTTAGAGTCTTTCCTCCAATTACAAGGGAGCAATATCATGAGCATTTCCTTAATTAAAAGCTAAAGCAGAACTATGATACTGTATAACATTCAGCTAGCATTTATTTAAGCCATCTGTCCCTCTGTGGCAAATTTGCTTTCACAGCGATAGATGTGTCCCAGTAGCCTTTCTAGGCAGGATTTTTCTTCCCTGTGCACACTCGGTTAGACCTCTGAGTCTAAAATATTTGTTTGGGTCCCTTTTCCTTTCAAGGATTTTATCCACATCTTCTCTGTATCCTATTTGTACCAGCTCCATTTTTGTTCTCAAGTTTTAGTGACTGAAATCTTAGATTTTATTGTTTTAAAAAAGGTTTTTGTATGTGTATATCACTACTTTGGCCTGAAAATTAGAATTGTGGCTCCCATTTTATTCAAAGTCCCTTAGTAGTGGCAAGTTTTGTGTTTTCTACTTGGTCCGTTTACTGCCTGACCTGCTTTTCTCCCTCTTGCAGCCTGATAGTCAGTATTATTTGTTTTCATTGGATCTCAGAAATTGCCTACTTAGTCTATGCTGTCCTTCCTCTGGATTTTGTGACCCCATTATTTTGTTGGTTTAGTTGTCCTTGTAAACTTTGTCTTCTTTTTGCCCCAGGCCCTCCCTGTTATATGCCCTGGCAATCAGGAGAAGCTGTGGAGCTTTTCTCTGGTGACTGTCCCAAGAAAGTGATTGTTGAAATGTGTCTGCTGCAGCTAACACAGAGCTGCTAAGATATAGATATACAGGCTTTTATATTTCTCCCCTTCTGTCAGTCTCTTTGGGAAATCAGCTAATTCTGTGTGTGAGCCAAGTGTAGGGGGAAAATAGAAAAAAGAAGGAAAGGTGGGAAAATATGGAAATTGGGGACAAAGACAAAAAGACTGTAGTTTGAAGCCATCAGGAATACTCTAGTCTGACTGAAGCAGGGCCAAGTAGTCAGAAGGCACAGTATCTTTCGTACTCCTGGGTTTTAAGCACCTACAACAGATAGGAGGACGAACGGCGGCTTGTGTTTACAAGGCTGAAATCTGAAGAAAAAGCTTCCATTCCTTTGCCATCTTGATATGGAGGGTTCTGCAGAGGAAAATAAGGAGATGAAATATTACATGCTTCAAAGGTAAGTTTTAGGTGCCATATTTGGGCAATATATACCATTAAAAATCAGTAAAGCGTTAACAGCCAAGCACTGGAATTTATGGGAGATTTGATGATTTTTCTGTATCTATAAGAAGCTTTTTTTTTAAGGAAATGAATAAACACTCTCATATTTGCTCCTGTATTTCTAAACTTTTATTTTACATTCAGAATTTGAGCCAAAGTTAGCTGAGACCATGTGTGATATTGTAAAACAAGCACCCGTGCGCAGACCTTGCTGTACTATTAATTGTGTTAAGGATCTCACTCAGTCTGTGCCAGAGTTGCTCACTGGATTTGGCTGGTTTTTCAAGAGTGAAATTTACTTCAATTATTGTGAAGGAAGATATCAATTCTGTGTAGTATGTAGCATCCTGTGGAAGATAGTTTTGAGAAAACTTTTTTAGGATGTGTCTCTGGGGCCAGGAAAGGTTGCCTGCTGCCATCGTCCTGGCATGTGACAGTGGGCAACCAGACTGGAGTTATTGAGGGGGCCAAGCTTTCTTATCCTGGAATCTTTCTTCTTCCTACTGTTGGAACTCAGGCTAAGGAGGAGATAAATCAGGCCTTCTTGGCCGCCTTCAAGCCTCTTGCAGGTCTCTGCCTTTCCAGCAGAGGATTAACATAAAAGACCTGAATGATTTGCTTGATAGCAGTCATGAAGGGTTCCTCCATTATCTTTTTTGTTTGCTTGTTTTTGCAATCTAGAGTTTTTATTTGAAAAATGTTACTGGAAAATTAAACTGGACATAGGCAAAAACAGAAAACACCAAGTTAGTAAAATTAGTCTTTAGAACAATCATCCTTTCCTTTTCCTTTTCACTTGACTTTTTTCACCTTTTTGGGAGAAAACCAAGCAAAATTTCTGCTGAGAGTTACATAGGTAAAAAGCAACTGAGATATTTTATATGTATAATAAAAAATAATTGTTTTATATGTGCATATGTAAACCATTTTTATATGTAACATTGTTTTATGGTTTTATATATATAAAACAAACATATGTATCTATACATAAATTAACAAAACATATATATATTTATATATAATACACACACACAAAGTTTTGTTTTTCTGTGGTTAAATACGACAAGTGATAGGTCCATTTTTTTCAAGGAGGCATCCCTTCTAGAGCAGTCTCTCCTCTGATTTGAACAATCATTTAGGGAATTCCCTTCTCTTCTGTGATGGATCCTCTGTTTCTTGCTTTCCTTGTCCTCCTTTTTCTTGGTTTACTCCATCTTTGGGAAGACAACATTCTCTAATAGCTCTCTGAGAAAAGCTAGGTGAGAGACGAAGATTTTGGCATCTAGTCTGTCTTCATACTTGATCCCCTTGTTTTTTGCGTGGTGCCTCCTGGTACCTCTAGGGGAAAGCGTCAGGCTCTTCCTGGGAGTGTCGAAAGATGCTAGAGGCTGAAATTAACTCTCTATTACTGTGGAGCAATGCTATAAAAGCTGGAAAACAAGAAGGAAGTTTCTTTTCTTACCCCTTCTGCCTTCCCATTGGCAAAACTAAACGTATTGCAGTCTTATGTCGCAGAGTAAAAGGGTGGGCTTGGAGCTGAGACACAATAGGTAAATAACTAGAACAGTGACTACTATGATTTATTTTACAAAGAGAAAACTGAAGCTGAATAAAGTTAAATTCCTTGCTAAAGCCCATTGGAGGAGGTATTAAGTCGACAGATCTGGAATTTTAACCCAGGCCTATGTTGTTTCTACTACTGTATGCATCTAATCTCAAACACTGTTCATTGCTAGAGGCACCATTATTGTATGTACCACTGAGAAAAAAAAATACTGCCAATTAAATAGAGCACCCTGTGAGTTGTAAGATACATAGCAATTTCAGATATTTTAAAAAGTTAAAAAAAAAAAGAGGGGCATCTTAAAATTGATGAAATATGGTGTATTATGCTGCCTTGTAAAGAATCTGGTTTTGGAGTTGTTGATTTTGAAGCGCTTCTGGGATGCACAAGTAGAACTTTTAGTAGGCAGTTAAAAATGTGAGTTTATAGTTTATAAGAATGATAGAGGCTAGAGATACAGAGGTGAAAGTCATCTGTATGCCAGACTCATGATCTAGAAACAGCCTTGTTTTTTTTTTAGTTTTAACAGTTTCTCTGAGTCTATTATTTATACCATCTAATTTCATTCTTTTGCCTATCTCTTTGTGAGACGTCTGTTGGTAAATCTTAATATTATTTTTTATTATTCAGGGACACTTATTTTTTTCTTTAATTTCCACAACCAAAGACCTTTTCTTTTCTCTCTCCTATAAAAGTATGTGGTTTGTGAGCTCGTAATCTTCACAAGGGTACAGTTGGAAGGGCTTTATAAGTATGGTAGTGAAAAGCAGGTCTCCAGGGGAGATAGATGGTATGAAGAAATCCTATCTATAGACTTTCACGGTTTCTCTATTTTTATAGGTCCAGCATGTCTGGCTTACACATCGTAAAGCAAGGTCGAGACCGGAAGAAAATAGACTCACAGCGAGATTTCACTGTAGCTTCTCCAGCAGAATTCGTTACTCGTTTTGGGGGGAATAAAGTGATTGAGAAGGTAAGTTATAACTTGCTAAATTATCTTTTCAAAAGTACATGAGATTCAATGCTTAGATTTGTTGTCTAGATTTGCTCAAAACTGATATTTAGATCTTCAGAGACTTTGCCTCTTCCTCCGTAATTATCCTTTCTGCTCCCCTAGCGTCCTATTAAATAATTTCGCTATTTTCTGTAATATGTATTTTCCACTGATAATTTAATCATAGCTAATTAAGAGGATGAAGCAGTGCTCATAAAGTTCTTTTTAAAAGATCTTTTGGTTTTACAGGGTTGGGCTGCACTGATATGAGAGGGTATGAGAAATGGATTTGCTTCTAGGCTAGTGGTGAGGAGATAATATGTCATAGCATTGGATTTAGAGCTAAGGGAGTAGAGAGTTTCATAACAGAAGGCTTAAACAGTTTGATACACTGTGATTTACTGGCTTCTCCCAGGTATTTGAGATGTTTAGAGGAAATATACCACATGAAATACTTAAAAAAGATTACAGGTATTTTGAAATGTTTTAAGTAATTCTGTGTCACTTTTATGTAAACCATGTCAGAGCTGAGAGGATGACTTGGTTGAAATAGCTTACAGTGATTAAAAGATTAAAGGATGGGGACCTATAGTCCCACTCCTAAAAGTATTGCTTCAGTGGTGTCCTTCTGTTAGTCTTTCAGTAAAGATAGATTATGTGTCTCTGAGCCCATGTTATGCTTGGGGTCGTGACTGCAGGACAGGTAAGGAGATGAAAGATTTGTTTTCAGAGAAGTCTCAGTATCATTGATTCTTCTAGTCTTTTTCTTTTGTGACCATTGCTTCTAAGGCAGTCTCTATAATTCTGAGGCATTTGGGGTTTAGCACTTCGGAGAGAGGTGGTGGTTCATGCCAGCATTCTTCTAACATGTTCAAGCCTCTGTGCCTTGTTTTATTACAACAGAGAATAGTGCATGACACTACACTGTTTAGTCTTGCCCCATTCCTTATTTGATAATACATCATCCCTCTGAAGTTTGTCGTCTTCTGTTCTCTAGAAATAGGTATGGTAGAATAATTCACAAACTCACAAGATTTAAGTCATTGTGATTTTTCCCTTCCAGAAATGAAATTAGAAAGGAGTAAATTATAGCTGGCATGTATTAAAGTATTTGCTTAGCTAACATTTTAAAACATCCCTTGATCCCGTGGATCTGATTCCTAACTGCCTAGACCAGCAATACAAATTCCTAGTTGAAAATCTGGCTTTTCAGAGAAAGATCTGCAAAAATCATGTCATCTCTTTTCCTCCGTCATTGCCTGCCTTTTCTACCTTTCTCTCTAATTCCCATTTGCTCACTCTCCCAGGTTCTTATTGCCAACAATGGCATTGCAGCAGTGAAATGCATGCGATCTATCCGTCGGTGGTCTTATGAGATGTTTCGAAATGAACGTGCAATCCGATTTGTTGTCATGGTCACACCTGAAGACCTTAAAGCCAACGCAGGTGAGTTTTTAGCAGTAAGAAATCATCACCCTTGGGGTCAGCCCAGTGGCGCAGCTGTTAAGTTCGCACGTTACGCTCCGGCGGCCTGGGGTTCGCTGGTTCGCATCCCAGGTGCAGACAGGGCACCGCTTGGCAAGCCATGCTGTGGTAGGTGTCCCACATATAAAAAACAAGAGGAAGATGGGCACAGATGTTAGCTCAGGGCCAGTCTTCCTCAGCAAAAAGAGGAGGATTGGTAGCAGATGTCAGCTCAGGGCTAATATCCCTCAAAAAAAAAAAAGTCAAGTGTCACCCTGGAGCATAAAACATTGAATAGCACAGCCTTTAAGTAGGAGAATGTTGAATGATGGGGATTTCCAAACCCAAGGATTTCTCTTTTAAACAGTGTCAATAATAAGCATGTACAGGTGATGGTACTATGTTTAACCTCAACCTCAATACAGACTCCTGTGTCCTAAATAAAAATAGGGAGAAATTTAACCGAAGTATTGATTTGGGTTTGCAGGTATATGCTTTTTCGGTGTCATGTATTGGCTAAGCCACATACTTTAGGATGTGTAAGTGGAATGGTTTGGAAGGAAATACTATTTCTCTTATGGGCTACATTACATTTTAGAGAATCTTAGGGTTAAGATTCTTTTTTCCCCTTCTCCTGAGGGACAGACCTCTTGGGACCCAAGTGGGTTTCACTCTGCAAGCTCTTCTGCCTATTCTCTCTACTCAGATGGTCCTCCATCTGAGAGTTGTAGATAAAGACTATTGTTATAGCTGAGGAGTTGTGGCTAGTCTTTCCTCTCCATACTTTTTATCACTAAAGTATAATCTCTAAGGTAGAGTACAGATAACATTAGCTCTTTAAAGAGCTATCTTTTGGAGCCAGCCCCATGGCCAAGCGGTTAAGTGGTTAAGTTCCTGCGCTGCACTTTGGTGGCCCAGGATTTTGCTGCTTCAGATCCTGGGTGTGGACCTAGCACCGCTCATCAAGCTGTGCTGAGGTAGTGTCCCACAAAGCAGAACTAGAAGGACCTACCACTAGAATGTACGATTATGTACTGGGGGGCTTTGGGGAGAAGAAGGAGAAAAAAAAATATTGGCAACAGATGTTAGCTCAGGGCCAATCTTAAAATAAATAAATAAAGAGCTATCTTTTTTTTTTTTTTTATGGATTGGCACCTGGGCTAACAACTGTTGCCAATCTTTTTTCTTTTTCTTTTTTTTTTTCTTCCTGCTTTATCTCCCCAAACACCCCCTGTACACAGTTGTATATCTTAGTTGCATGTCCTTCTAGTTGTGGGATGTGGGAGCCGCCTCAACGTGGCCTGACGAGCGGTGCCATGTCCGCGCCCAGGATCTGAACCCTGGGCTGCTGCAGTGGAGCGCTCGAACTTAACCACTCGGCCACAGAGACGGCCCCAAGAACTATCTTTTTAAACCTGTTTTGGTCTGTATATGTTCTCTCCATATTGAGATAATGATGTTAAGACTATTCCTAAGGAGTAAGCGTTATTATGTTATCTTATTTAGAAATGGAGAAGGTACCAATTTGTTGGAAAGCAGATGTCATTATATGAAATCACTTAGTTTGACCCTTTAACATCTCTGAGCCACAGTTTTTGTATCCATATAAGGAAGATCATAATGTCTATTTCACTCGTTAGTTATAAAGATGAAATTGTCTATAATACATGGAAACTACCTTGCATGATTTTCCCATCTATTTCTACTTGATATTCCTATTAATTCATTTATTCATTCACTTACTGTACATGGAGACCTATAGTTAAATAAGATGTGATCTTGCTCTGAGAAAGCAATGAGGCGTGTGCTATAATAGAAATACACACAGGGTACTGTGAGAACTCAGAGATGAGACTTCTTAACTCCGCGGGGGCAGGATTAAGAGAAAGTTTTCTGAAAGAGATTATGCCTAGCTAACAATGAGTTAGAGTGAAGCAATTGGGGGAAGACAAGGGTGTTTGAGGCAAAAGGAACAGTATATGCAGATGTATGAAGGTGTGACACAGTGGTTTTCTGGAAACTATAGGTGGCTTATTCAAGTACAAGATGTGATCTAGTATTTGTCAAGGAGGACCTTGTTTTTCATCCTTAAGAGCATAAACTTTATCCTTTTAGGAATGTATGTGTGTGTGTGTGGTACATTAAAGGATTTGCATTTTAAATGGATTAGTTGTTGTTGTTTCAAAAATAGAAGAATATAATGAATCTTTCCCATCTACCTATCATCCAGCATCAATAATTATCAACTCATGGCCAATCCTGTTTCATCTATGTTTCACCTCCTCCCCACACAATTTCTTAAGCAAATCTTAGATATCATATTATTTCATCTGTAAATGTTTCAGTATGTCTCAAAAAGATAGATACTTTTTAAAAAAACAATTAGATGGATGATTCAGGTAGCATCTAGGAAGATCCATTTGTGGAAGGCAATACTAGAGGATATGATGAGGCTGAGAACAGACTAAAAAGGGGTGGTTTTGAGAGCTTTAGGAGGTAGACTTGGCAAGATTTAGTGATTGAGGGAAGAGTTAACGATTGCTTTAATCTAATTTAATCTAATTTGATTGACTAGGCAGATGCTAGTACCATCAACTAGGGCAAAATAATTGATAATATAGCAAGAAGAGCAAGTTTTTTTTGGAGAGAGACAGATTAGGTTTGAGGTACATGTGGTACAAGCAGGTCCTATAAATCTCGCAAAAAATTGAATTTATCCTTCCAGAACTTAGAAATAATGAGAGCTGGAGATTAAGAGTGTGCATTATCAGCAAATAGGTGATAGTTAACTCTACTCCCTGAAAGAACAGATAGAAAATGAAGAGAAGAGAGCTAAGGATGAAATTTTATGGAAGACTAAAATTTAGGGATAGACTCAGGAATATAACTCATAAACAATGCTGAGAAGAAATTATCAGAGAGATAGAAAAAACAAAAAAGAGAAGCAAAGAGAAGAGAGAATATCAATAAGGAAGGGTCAAATGTGTCAGAAATCCAATAAAATAGACTAGCAACCTGTCCAGCAATTAGGAAACCAATGGTAACCTTTGCAAAAATAGTCTCAGTGGAACAATATGAGTATGCAGACTAATATACAATGTTAAAGAATGAATAGGAAGTGACATGCAGATAGCAAATGTGGACAAGTGTCTTAAGAATTTTGGCTGAGAAGGGAAGAAGAAAAGGCAGTAAATTAAAGAGAAATTCAGGGTCAAGGGAGGACTTTTATTTTTTAGAATGAAAAAGACTTGGCAATGTTTATAGTTGGAGAAGAAGGAGCCAAAGAAGGGAGAAGAGTTGAGGTACACGAGAGACCTAGACGAGAAGGAAGAATGGGATCAACAGCACAAGTGGACAACAATTTACATATCTTTAGACCAAGAAATTCTATTTCCTGCTATTTATTGTGAGAAATAAAAATCAGTAATGGGGCAAATATATTCATACAAGGATATTCATTGCAGTGTTATTTAAAACAGTAAGAAACTGGGAGTAACTGAACATCCAACATTAGTGGATTAGTGCTATACCAATTCCATGAAATACCATGCAGCCATTAAAAAAGTTTTGTGGAATAGCATGTATTTGTATGAGAATGTGTTCTGACAAATTTTGTTATATTATTTATCTTTTACTGTATAACAGTATTACCACAAACTTAGCAACAGACATTTATTATCTTATACTTTTGTAGGTCAGGGCATGGCTTAGCTGAGTCTTCTGCTTCAGGGTTCAGAAGGCTGCAGTCATTTGTCAGCTGGGGCTGCAGTCTCATCTGAGGATCGACGAGGGATGCATCCACTTTTGCTCACATGGTTCTTGGCAGCATTCGTTTTTTTGTGGGCTGTGAGAATGAGGGCCTGTTTAGCTGGTTGTTGGTTAGAGGTCACCCTTGGCTCCTTGTAACATGAGGCATCCCAGAATGACTGTCTGCTACCTCAAAGCCAGCAAGTAAGATCAGTTACACTCTTAGACAGTGTTATCATGGAAATGACGTCTCTTCATCTTGCCATATTTTCTTGGCTAGAAGCAAGTCATAGATCCTGCCTATACCCAAGGGGAGGGGTTAAATAAGGTATGGACACCTGGAGACTGGGGCATGGGGACAGACACATTACTGTCTATCTATCACAAATGCTAAGAAAAAAGTTGGTTATGAGGAGATTGATAGCATGATATAATAATAGAAAAAAAGTACATTGTGTATAGTCATAGAAAAAAAAAGATGTAATGACATATACCAAAACAGCAGTACTGGTTATTTCTGGGGGTGGAATTCTGGAGTGTTTTTATTTCTGTTTTTGTTTCTGCTTTTTCCAACTTTTTGACAGAGTTTATATAATTTCACAGTTTCTTTATTTAAAAAATAGAACCCTAGGGGCTGACCCAGTGGCGCAGCGGTTAAGTTTGCACATTCCGCTTCAGCAGCCCAGGGTTTGCCGGTTTGGATCACGGGTACGGACATGGCACTGCTTGGCAAGCCATGCTGAGGTAGGCGTCCCACATATAAAAACAAGTAGAGGAAGATGGGCATGGATGTTAGTTCAGGGCCAGTCTTCCTCAGCAAAAAGAGGAGGATTGGCAGCAGTTAGCTCAGGGCTAATCTTCCTCAAAAAAAAAAAAAAATAGAACTCTAGAAGAATTACAGTACCACTGGCATTGAATTAAGGAATTAGTATTACGGATGATTTTTCCTTTTTCGTTTTTTTTAACCTTTCTATTATGTTAATTATTTTTGGTAACTGTTGAATATAATTTATATACAATAAAAGTCACCCTTTTAAAAGTGTACAGTTCTATGAATTTTAGTAAATTTGTACTGCTGTGCAATCATCACTGTAATCCAGTTTAAAATACTAATTATTTTTACAATTTGAAAGATGATGGAAAAGGAGGCTTAGATAGAAGAGTTGGTTATTAACATGAGGAGAGGGCTTCATCCTCTGAGACTGGAGAGGGATAGGCAAAATTGACAGGTTAAGGGATGATGAGGATGGTAATAGTTGATCAGTTGCATGTTTTTATTCCATGATAGTTGTTGGAACAGTTGGAGAGGTGGATGATTAGTGAAATCCATAGTAAAGAATTGAGTATTCTCTTTTGAGGGACATTTTCTAATTTATTTGTGAATATGCTCTAGAATAGCATCTCGGGTGGTAGTTATGGGAACTGTGGGAACTAGGAGATGATGGAGAAATACAAGCCAAATAATTAGGATAATCTTTCTTTTTCTACTTGCCAGGGCTTCTCTTTTCTTTAGTGTCTACAATAATGATAATAGAAGATTGATTGGTATAGAACGCCAAACTGTTGTTGGTTGGTGGTAGCAGTACTGTGTGTGTGTGTGTGTAGGATGTAGGTCAGCAATTAAAGTAACTTTTTTCTACATCTAGGGCCACTGAACTGCAGAAAAGACTAAACCACAGTAGAAAAGTTAGATGATTTGACTACATAAAAATAAAAATTTCTATTTAGAAAATAAAAAAAGAAACAGAAAAAGTTACAGACAAATGATAATCTGGGAAAACATATTAGCAGCAAAGAATTTCTACCTGTAATATTAGAAGAAGATACCCTTCAACACACAGTGAACAAAGAACACAAAAAAGTAGTCCATAAAAGAAGAATTAAAAAGGAACAATAAACATATAAAAAGAGATTCATACCAAGGATAATCAAAGAAATGCAAACCAAAACAATAGTTAAATTGGGATTTTTAAAAATTTATAAGACTGGTAAAATTTAAAAGATTGATAACACCTAATATGGGTGAGAGTATAGGCAATTTGGTACCCATGTTGCTAGTGAGGGTCTAAAGTGGTTTAATCTTTGAAAGCGTATATACCCTTTGACCCAATAACTTTATTTCTTTTAGGAACATATCCTGAGGATGTAATTGGATAGCAGCACAAGGATATTCATCATTATGTTATTTTAATATTTTCCAAATTATTCATGACCTATATGTCCATCAATAAGTTAGTGGTTAAATGAACTATGGACTATAGAAACATTAGACATCTATTAAAATATTGAGCATATATGTTAAATATTAAATATATCTCTATGTCATAATATGGGAAGATATCTACAATATATTGTTAAATTGGTTAACAATTTATGGTTTGTAGTATATCAAAGCATGAACTGATTATCTCTGAGTGGTGGGACAATGGGTGATTTTGACTTTTCAAAAATAGTGTTATTACATCCTGATATATTATCTAAATATTTTTATAATTAACATGCTTTCCCTCTTATAATTAAAGAGAACAATAAACCTATTTCTGTTTTGAGCAAACTATAGGGCCTTGTATCTTTGGGTGGAATTATTTTTAGAAGAATTTAAAAACCTTTAAAAATTAAAAACAAGGTATAAGAAATGTTAATCAGTATGGTGGAGATGAACATTGAGCAAGTTATTTAGCTGCTCCAAGCCATAATTTCCTATAAACTGGGTATTAATAATACCTGTCATGTATAGGATTGTTGAGTATTAAATGAGACAATATGTATAAAGTGCTTAGTACGGTCCCTTCACATTGTAGCTGCTCTGCTACAATTATTACCAGAATAGGAAGAGAGACATCAGATGACAAATCTGAAAGGGAATACTGAGTAAATAATATGTAAGGAAGTTGCCTTTTTTTTTTTTTAGTGAGGAAGATTGCTCCTCAGCTAACATCTGTTGCCTATTTTCCTTTTTTTCTTCCTCCCCAAAGCCCCATACTAGTTGTATATCCTAGCTATAGGTCATAGAAGTTGTCTTTTTAAAGTGTCTTTTAAATACCTATTATCTCAGGCATTCCAGCTAAACCCTTTTCAAGTATTTAGTAGACTCTTAGAAGTAACCTTTCCTGTTTAGCCAGTCTACAAACCCTCCGGATTCTACCTTCTTTCCCCATTCTGTTACAGCTCTATACCAGGAAAAAGACTTTCCCAGAGTACGGCGTAAGTTAAAGGTAAAAGTATCAGGACTAGAACTTTTTCTTAGAATAGAATAATTGTACGTGGGTCTCTAAATAACAGACACATCATCCTTGATAAAGGGATCATCAAGACCCTTCAGAAAGGTCACAGTGAAATGTTGGAGAACTGCTGTTTTTGTATAAGAACTTCCTAAATATGAGATTAGTGTATATTAATGCCTGTGACTTAACCAAGTCAGAGCCTCCAACTAAATGGTCTTGGATATCACCCCATTAATGCAGTTTGTTCTGTGGTTACCTATGAAGATACCTGTCATTTACGTAGTTTTCCTCTGCTGTTACATTTCTGAAAATAAAGCATGTTTTATCTATTAATTTGCTTGTGTTTTCAGAATACATTAAGATGGCAGATCACTATGTCCCAGTGCCTGGAGGACCAAACAACAACAACTATGCAAATGTGGAGTTAATTCTTGATATTGCTAAAAGGATCCCAGTACAAGTAAGAGATGCCAGTGTGTCCTTTAAAACAAAATTCAGCCAAATTACAGTTAGACACAAGGGGATATCCAGAGAAGAACTTTTAATTTTATATAAAGCATCTTTGTTGAAAATTGATCAATGCCTTTATATGGGATAACAGACAGGGAAAGAAAAGATGGAAAGAATGGAATGAGTCAGAATAGAGTAAACATCATACAAACATGAGGTTTGGAAGGGTCTTTCAGAGATTCTTTACTCTATCCGTTTCACCTTCAAACCATTCCATGTAAGTAAAAGTTGCCTGCTTCCCATGGAATATTCTTGGCTCAGAATATGGTGGTATAGAAATAGGTTCTTTCTTTTCTGTCACGTTGTGTTAAGAAGTTTAGGGTAAGTATCTTAAAGCCCAAAGAGAAAAAAACTCGAGACTTGTATGACCATATAATCACTAGATATAAAGCTGGGTTTGGGTGGCCAAAGTAATCGAATCTGTGAAAGATAACCAGTATTTCTAGAAAAGGCTCTCTAGAGTCTAGTTGAAAGGCTATGAATTGAGTTTCTGAAAGAGCAGCAAGACTGCCTGGATCTTAATATCAGTTTCTACTTGGTTTTGACCTCTTCAGAGTTTTGCCATAATGGACTGTTTATTGTTATTCTGTAAAACGTTTGCCAAGAATCAAGCATAGAAGCTGAATTAAGCATTAGGCCGCTGTGGAGCTATTGTACCTCATGGAGAAGGGCCAATCTTGGTAGAGAGTAATACAGTTTATTGTGGGTTTTTTAGTATGAATTTTAAGAATGAATCATATTGTGTTCCTTTATAGGCAGTGTGGGCTGGCTGGGGTCATGCTTCTGAGAATCCCAAACTCCCAGAACTACTTTTGAAAAATGGCATTGCCTTCATGGGTAAGCCTTTCTGATGTACTGTCTTGTCAATTTTGCCTATATTCGACTCTATATTCTGCTTTTCTTCTGTTTAATGTGTACTGGCCTCTTATTTTTTTCTTTTATCAGTCAGCAACTCTCAGAGTAACCCTCTTTATTTCTTTCTTTTTCTTTTCCGTCCGCGTTTCTTATACCCTGCTTATCTCTCTACATGTTGATTGTGTTTTCTGTCCCCGGGTTCTTTTCCATGAGATATAGAGGAGGCTTTGATTTCCAAAATAGTGGGCTTTTAAGACTTTGCCACTAACCTTAAGAAAACATGTGGAGAAAGGACCTATTTTTATGTAGCGAAGATAGCTGAATATTTAGGATTCCTTGGCAGTGTGCCCTTAAATGTAAATCAGCACCTTCACATTTAAGCAGATAGGTTATATAACTATGAATGAGAGCTATTTCTTCTGACTTTTCTGCTCTCCTATAGCAGAGAGAGAAATTGAGGTTATATGGCTCAAAGTGTTTCTCTCTGTTTCTCTCTTTTGGGTTCCTCCAAGACCAAGGAGAGTGTAATATTTCAGACTTGGATCCCAAAACTTTATAGTCCTTATTTTAGGATATTGCTAAAAAAAAAAAGAAAAAAGGACTTTATTAATCTGATAAAGTTGGATCATGAAGGATGATAAAATCAGAGTTATATTTGTCAAGAATTTAATTCAGTGTATACTTATATATGTTGAATTCTCAGTGTGTGCTAAATGCTTGCTGCATTAGGTTCTATAAAGGATAGAAAGATGATATAGTAATCTCCATAATCAAGTTTGTGTATCTCCATGATATGTGATGTAGGGGAGACAAGACAAATACAAAAATAATTATATAAAAGACAAAATGTGACAGAAATGTAGCCAAAATATTACAGAGTTCTTTTCTTGTTTTGTTTTTAGGTCCTCCAAGCCAGGCCATGTGGGCTTTAGGGGATAAGATTGCATCTTCCATAGTGGCTCAAACTGCAGGTATCCCAACTCTTCCCTGGAGTGGCAGTGGTAAGAAAGTATTTCTTGTTTGTATCTTGAGCAGAAAAGCTCAGTGGGATATTTGGGACTGTGACTTAGAACTTAGGTTTGCTTAAAATTTATTTGGATACTTGATAAGAAGTAGAGTCCAGGTTGATTAATGGTATCTTGTATCTCCTGGCTTAATTAATACACCTGTGATTTTATCATGTCTTAGGAATATAAATTTTGTACCAGGTACACAGATACTAAACTATGATTTAAGCGATCTTGAGACTTAATTTGGAGAAACTCTGAGAAAACTCATATTGTTCTGTAGATTTGGATATACTCTGGGTCAGCTAGAATATTCCATAGAGATGGACTTCCTAGGCAGAATTAGTCCTGTGAACCTGCTTGGGAGGTGACCTGGATCACTAAGAAAAACCTAAAGCCCACCCATCAATGTTTGCCTGCCAGTATTTTCTTGATGTCAGCCCACAAGATGATTAGCTTTGCCTGTTTAGTACCATTCAACCTCTCATTTGCCCTTGATGCAGAAAATGAGATCTGTAGTTAACTTTTCTTCCAGGCCTGAAGGAGGATAAAATTTTTCTAAAAATAATTTATTCTTGACAAATCCCTTAAAGAGTGCCATGTGAATCATAGCTGATAACTATATGAACTTGCCTTTCTTTAGTACTCAAGCACGGGGAGCAGACATTCACTAAAACCTCTTCCAAATGGGAACGACTGTTGTCTTGAGGCTGAACAGATCTGAACTCTTGTTACTCTGGCTCTCCAGGGGGATTGTGATATTCTCTCCAGTCCTGCTGGGTCAAACAGCTTAAAATAAAAGGTTGAATTCGTTCTTGTTTGAATGGAGAGATGATAGCATTCCCCTTGTGGCTGAGTACAGGGGCATTCAGGGAGCATGGAATCATGGCTCTGCCGAGGCCAATAAAACTGCCATTTCCATTTCCAAGGGCTCATAAAGATTGAATTATTTCTCAGACTTCTGGCCCTGGGGCAGCCCTGAACACACAAATGGAAGGTATTTTGCCTGCTAGTTGCTGTGAGAAGTTTGACGTGCTTTTTTTTTTTTTTTGGTCTTGTATGTCCTTGCATTTTTATAAGTTGCTGCCTGTTAGCTCTCCTGGCTTTTTCTAGCATAAGAACCCAAATTGCCAGGTTCTGCTGTGGCTAAACACTACCTTTAACTCCAAGAACTGATCAGGGTTTTATGGCATCCTTCTTTCTCCCATGTCCCCTCAATTTTGGATAAAGATGAGGGCATTTCAAGAAGGTATAGCAGAAAATTGACAAGAGAGAAGCTCTTATAGCTGCTTTTAAGTCACTGTTATCTATTACAGGTCTTCGTGTGGACTGGCAGGAAAATGATTTTACAAAACGTATCTTGAATGTTCCCCAGGAATTATATGAAAAAGGTTATGTGAAGGATGTGGATGATGGGCTAAAGGTAGGTTACTAACTCTAGGGAATGATGTCTTTCAAGTGACCAATTATAGTCACAAATATAGGGATTTGGAGCCTGGTTCATGATACATACTCATTAGGGTTGTAAGAGCAGGAGGTATAGTTTACAGAGCGAGAATTTGACCTAAGACCAGGAGATAGTTTACAGAGTGAGGATGTGACCCAGATTTAACAAAAATAATTTAAATTTGTTTTGAACAAGCTGCTCACCTGGACAGAACATTCCTTGGGTGGTTAAATTGTAGCTTTAAGGAGGTACTGATTCTCATCTCCACCCTGTTAGCATGTGTGGGCTGGTTAGGGGTGGGATAGGGGTGTGTGACAACAAACAGCACACTTTTTTCCCCTGCTTGAGTTCAGAACCAAGAAGCTAGGCAGATAGAGATCAAAATGTCAGCTTTGTTACAAATAGAGATGTTGACGAAAATGGCTTTAGTGTGTAGCAACAAATCAGATTCGTAAACTGAACGTTAGAGTTAAACAGGCTCTCTCACTGGTTACTAGTGGTGCTGGATAACCACAGACTTCCCTCTACAGAGACAGCTTTTTACCATTCAGCTTATTGTATGGCCGAGAGCTGAGGAGGAGCATATGATCTGTGCAGTGGGCTGATCCCAGAGGGGAAGAGGCTGAGCTATGCATGCTTAGTTCTTCCTTCCAAACTGACCAATCACATAATTCACTCTTTTTTCCCTTGGGGAGGAGTGAAGGAGGGAGCTGAGAGAGGCTGAAAGTGTTACTCTAATTGTTGTCCATCTGTGTAGAAACATGGACCCAAGCAAAAGAAGATCTTTTCTCCAACATTACCTTTTCTTTCTGTTATATTTGTCTCCAGTTTGTTCCCTTTTCACTTTTTAACTAGTTGGAAGGATCAGTTTTGCCTCCAGGTAGATTGATGAAAGAGACTATTTTAGAAAAACACAGTACTTGTGTTTGACTTGTATGTTATAAATTCAAGAGGAACACTGAATGTTCCATTAATTTTGCTCTTTTGTTTGCATTTCAAGTTAAGCATCCTGTAATCTCCTTAATAAGGAGAATTAATATTTCTAATTGAATTGCAAATGCAATATTTTATTTGCTTAATTTGCAAAAGAGTAGAAGCTGTTTGTAAGGAACTATTGTACATATCAACGAAAATTCATTTTTTTTCCTGATTATAATTATAAAGTTTTCTGGTAGAAACTTTAGAAAGCCAGAAAAGATGTGATGATAAAACCACCCATAAACCCACCATCCGTAGATAAATCCCATTAACGTATTCATCTATTTTCTTCCAGCCTTTTTTGATTCATAGATTCATATATTGATAATCTTTGTTAATAGACTCCCATAATTATAATTATTGTGATAATTATAAAATTAGGGTCCTACTATATATATTACTGAGAAATCCTAGGTTTTTTTCTTCTTAATATTGTATATAAGCACTTTCCTCATGGCATTAAAATTCTTCTAAAATATTTTAAATGGATGACCTGTGCCTAGAGCTTTCCTATATTTTTCAAAGGCCTACCTTCTTTCTTTCTGATGGCATATGAGCTACCCTACTTTTTAAGCTCTTTTCCATTTGTGGCCATTTCTTTGATCACTTATCACCCAGTGATTGAGTTCATCATGCTAACTCTGTTTATAAGCATAGTAATGGATAGAGTTAAGAGAAATTTAGAAGAGATGGGACTATGAGTGCAAGATTTTCATGCCTAATCTACTGACTTAAATTAAAATTTGAAATGGTCTTTTTCTAGTGACACATTTTTTGGATATTATTATAACGTAAACTTTAAAAGACTGGAATGTTTTGACAAAGGAATGACTCATTTTAAAATTTTGGTTAACTTTTTCTCAATTTACTTTTTGCCTTAACAGTACAATTTGGCCATCTTTCATATTATTACTTGTAAAAACTACCTCATTCCTTTTAATAATTGCATTGTATTCTAATATGTGGGTATATCTTGATTTGACCAGCTCCCTACTTAATGGATGTGTAATTAATTTTTGAAAAATTTTAGGATCATCACCTTATTATAAAATGCTGTAAATGTGAAAAGCACATTTAGAACATATGTTGAAAATTAGTTTTCTGACTAATTTTATTAATATTTTGATATCTTGTTATTTTTCTCTTTTACAAAAAGTTGAGTGAGAAAAAACTTCTGGATACGTGAGAGTTCTGATTTGTTAAGTCTTACTTATATGTTATCAGAAGCTATACTGAGACCATCAGCTTATATTAAGTGAACTACTTGTGTCTTGTTTTTAAATAAAAATTATGAGTAGTACATGAATACCAACATACTATAAGAAATGTGAATATTACAGAAATATATACAATAAAGAGTGAAAGTTTATATCTACCCATCTTCCTTTTATAAATCACCACTGGTGTCTATTCTAGACTTATTTTTTTGCACTTACATATGTGGGTGCATGAATGCATGCATAATCATATATAAACATACCGTTTTATTTTGTTTTTGACCGATATGGGGCTGTCTTAGATTGAACCATAAGAAATTGCCAATATTCAACTATTTTTTACCTACAAAAAAGGCAATTTCTATTGGTTCAAACTAATGCTACAAATATTTTTCTATTACTTATTTTTTTCACCTAATAGTATATCTTCAAGATCTTTCTATTTTACTACATGTAGACCTACAAAATGATAGCATTTTTAAGGGCAGGAAATGCCAGGTTTCTCCTTACCTACTCATATCCCCCTTGTTTCCATTTTTCTCTTCCTAAAGGCAGCAGAGGAAGTTGGATATCCGGTAATGATCAAGGCCTCAGAAGGCGGGGGAGGGAAGGGAATCAGAAAAGTCAACAATGCAGATGACTTCCCTAACCTCTTCAGACAGGTAGAGTACAAGTTGTTTTCGTTTGTTTGAATTAACATGTATATCAGAGATAAATGATTTAACTTACACCATAATTTGGATGTCCAGAAAATATTTAATTTTTTATTTTGTCTGTAACTAATCTAATCTTTTTCTCTAGCCTCTACCTGCTTATTATCAGGGAAAAAGTGTTAATGAAATGTCCAATTCAAGTTTCATTCAATTAGGTAATTCAAACAGTAGAGTTATTTTCTCTTATACTAAAAGTGCTCAGTTTCTCAGATAGCTCTTGCCTGTATAGTATGTGTGGCTCAAAAGACCTCATAGTGACAAGGAAGAATCAATGTCTTTCTACGTTTTTGTGTCCCTCTTCTGTTGGCACTGTAGATAAAGTATGTGGTGTAGTTAACTCGATCTGGATGCTCTAGGCTTGGCCAGGCCCAGGCTCTTTGTTGACTTTACCTTACTTCAGTTCAAATTGGCTGCAGGCTCCTGAGTTTCTGCCACATGTGCCATCTACCCTGCTGGCCCAGCAGTCTACACCCTAGCCTGTGCTGCATGGCCACCATACCCTGGCACAGAAACCCTATGGCAGGCGCAGATTCTTGAGAACTGAGGTTGGCTCAGGAAAACTAAACTTAGGATCTTTCTCTGCCTAACCCTGTGATTTACAGCCAATTTGATGTGGCTATACTATATGTTGGTTCTGGAGGTCAAAGAAATTATCTTTTTTTGGAATCTTAGAAGCTAGAGACAGGAGTTTCTTCTTCCTTGCCCTCAGAGTTACCCTCATGTTCTTGACTCACTTCTTTTTCTCCTAACGATACCCAGAAAAAGATGTCAGGCAAAGGAAAATTGCAGCACATTCTGGCCTTGTCACTCTCCTAGCTTCTCATGTTTTCTTATTTTCCCCAGAATCTTTTACTTTGCACCATCTTTTACTAGTACCCCTAGCGACCTTTTATTTGCACTCTTTTTTTTGAGGAAGATCAGCCCTGAGCTAACATCTGCTGCCAGTCCTCTTTTTGCTGAGGAAGACTAGCCCTGAGCTAACATCCGTGCCCATCTTCCTCTACTTTATATATGGGACGCCTGCCACAGCATGGCTTGATAAACAGTATTTAGGTCTGCACCCAGGATCTGAACCTGCGAACCCCGGGCCACCAAAGCGGAGCACATGAACTTAACCACTGTGCTACTGGGCTGGCCCCTAGGTTGGGATCTTGGAGCAGTAAGAATGAACTGGAAATAGGCCAGCCCTCACAGGGACTAAATCTCAGCTTCAAAACACTCAACCCTTGATTGAAGCAAGGTGTTCTAGGATTTCTAGTATCCCTAGCCACTAGCAGGAAGCAAAGATAAATTCTCTCCAGAGAAAGATAATGTTCAGAACCTCAAATTATTTCTGTTAATTTTTCAAATGTACTATCAAGCAGCCAGTTAAAAAGAAGCAGGCATATCAAATTACATGACTGAAAATCAAGAAAAATAAAAGTCGGTAGAAGCAGACCACAGAGAGTTTAGATAATGGATCTATCAGACAAGGACTTTAAAGTAACATACTTAATGTATTCAATGGAATTAAAGACAAGATTGAAAATTTTGGCAAAAAACTGGAAACCATAAAGAAGAAACAAATGAAAATTCTAGAACTGAAAATGCAATAACTAAAATTAAATCAATAGAATTTAATAGCGTATTAGATGCAGTTGAAGAGAGAATTAGCAACTGGAAGATAGGTTGGAAGAAAATTCAGACCAAAGCATAGAGAAAAGGATGAAAAATATAAAAAGAACATGTGAGAGATGATTTGCAAGGAGGACCATGATAATTCCCCCCATCCCTATATACACACCCCCTTACGGTATGATTTTACCTCTCTCCCATCAAGGGGTAGAGTTTTTTCTCCCACCCTTTGAATTTTGACTGGCCTTGTGACTTGTTTTGGCCAATAGATGTGTGGCAAAAATGGTATACACGTTTTGGAGCCTTAACCTCAAGTGATCTTGTGGTTTCTGCTCTCTTGGAATGAGTCTCAGATGCCATGTGAAGAGCCCAGTCAGGCCTTCTGGAGAAAGACAGCCCACATGAAGCAGAGATGAGTTGTCTCAGCTGAGGCTTCCTAGACTTACTTGCTGACAGCACAACATTTGAGCCATGTAAGTGAAGCTGTATTAAACTATCCAACCACAGTCAAGTTTCCAGATAACTACAACTGCATGAGTGTCTCTAGGCCTAGATCAGCAGCAGAACTGCCAACTGAGCCCAGCTCAAATCACTGTGAGCAAATAAAATAAAATTATCCTAAGTGTCCTAAGTCACTAAATTTTGGGTGGTATGTTAGGTATCACTGCATAACTATCACAGAAATTAACATTTAAAGTTGTGATAGATACTGCCATAAAAAAGAAAGGTAAAATATGTGGCATTGACTTTGAGACTGGCCTCATATGTGGAGGCTGGAAAAATGGTGAGAAGGTTCTTAGTGAAAGCTGGAGGCATAGTGAACAAACTCTTAGTGGAGACTGGAGAGGCAGTAAAGGAATTGTTATTAGAATCTGGGAAAAAAGGTACCAATGTTCTGTAATGATGGAACAATTGCCTGAGGTAACTTGGAAGATAAAGAATGTATTTAATGAACTTGTGGACCTAGATAAAGAGATCTGTTGACAAAGTGTTGAAAGTATCTGTTGAATACTTCAGGTTGCTTATGCTAAGGAACTATGAAAGAGAAATGAGCTCAAGAAGGTGTTTCAAACTTGTTGAGTTTGAAAATAGAACTGTTTCTCATTCCCAGTTTCTCGAGCTGGCAAAAGATTCTCAAAATGACATCAGGGTAAAGGCCAAGTCAAGAATGCCTGTGAGATCCTTTACAATGTCAGAAATATTTAAGACAGTACCTGGGAGATTACCTCTCAGCTAGCAAAAAAAGGGCTTGTAAGAATCTTAAGGCTGTTGTCCTACAGCAGCCTGATATGCCCGAAGTACAGAGAGATCTGTGCAGAAAAGTTATGGATATGTCTTTTGGGGCAAAGAGTGAATCCCCCAATATGATTCATAGGAAGCCAACAAAATTTTCAAGAGACTTATATTGATGAATGCACCAAAGGGACTAAAAGAGACAGAGACAGGTCAAACTTTAAAGAGGCCTCTGGGCCTTCAATTTTCTATGAATAAGAAACAGACTGAAAAACTTAATCACCTGTAAACATTAATCATTTCTAATAAAAAGAAAGTTTTTGGAGAGCAGAGCCAGGAGCCCAGAGGGCAGAGCTAAGAGCAGAGGGAAGTCATGGATTAAGAAACCACTCCCAGGGAGCAGAATAAGACCCTAAAATAAAAAGACATTCCATGCTTCTGTAGTAAGGGAATCCCACAACATGTACCCATTTGAATTTCAGAATTGCTATGGACCAGTGACTGCTGTGTATCTTTCATCCCCTCTTCTTTGAACAGGAGTGCTTTTACAGTTATCTGCTCCCCATCTCATCATTAAATATTGGGATTGTTGGGGGCAGATAACTTGTTTTTTTAGTTCTCAGATCTTTAGATCAAGAGAAATAGCACCTGAGGAGCTGTACCCATTGCTTCTGGATATGACTCATGAGAAAATGGATGGCAAGCCTGATGCCATGATTGGATGACTTTGGGGGTCTTGGGAGGGGGTGAGTCTATTTTGCATGTGGGAGATATGTGACTTATTGTGGCTGGAGGGCAGGCCATAGTAGATTGTTTACAGAGATGGCTGCAGTAACTCCTCCCATCCTTATATGTATGTCCCTTTGCAATGTGACACTGCTTTTTCTCTCATTAAGAGGTGGCATCTTGTTTCCCACCCCTTGAATCTTGGCTGGCCTTGTGGCTTGCTTAGACCATTAGAATGTGGCCAGAGTGGTGCTAAATTCGAGAGCCTAGAGCTTGTGAAGCCTTGGAGTTTCTACCTTCACTCTCTTGGAACACTGCGTTGAAGAAGCCTGGTCCAGCTTACTGAGGAAGGAAAGGCCGTATGCAATGGAGATGAGCTGTTGCAGTCGAGGCTCTCCAGACCTACCAGCCAACATTTACTACACAAGTCGCTAGACATTGAGTGAGACCATTCAGCTCCACTCAAGCCACCAAATGATAATATGAGTGACCCCATGGAAGACCAGAAGAATAAGTGCCCAGATGAGCACAGCATCATGAGCAATAAAATGGTTGACGTCCTAAGCAAGCCACTGAGTTTTGAGGTGACTTGTTACGTAACAAAACAGAGCATAAAGGATACAGAGCTTAAAAGACATATGGGATACATGAAATCAACTAACATCATATACTTTGAGTCTCAGGAGAAAAGAGAGAGAATGGAGCAGAAGCCATATTTGAAGTAATCTTGAAGCAGAAGCAGTATTTGAAGAGATAACAGCTAAGAATTTTTCTGAATTGATAAGAGATACCAAACATAGATTCAAAAAGCACTGTGAGTTCCACAGGACAGGTATGAAGAAAACCACATCTAAGCTTATCAGAGTAAATCTACCACCCCACTCCCCTAAAAAGAGACAGAGAAAGAGAAAATCCTGAAGCAGCTGGAAAAAAAGATTACTTTCAGAGGAGTAACAATAAGATTACTTTCAAAGGAGTTACTTGCAGGATAGCTGACGTCTCACAGTAGAAACAGTGGAAGCCAGAAAACATTGTGATGTTTTTAAAGTGCTGAAAGAAAATAAATTGCCAGTGTAGAATTCTGCATCCAGTGACAATATGCTCTGAAATGAAGATGAAAGTTCTTTGACTACAGCAATATCATATATGACATCATGTAAATAGGAAAGCATCTAGTCTGGAGCAAGTTGTTCATTTGGCTGTTTGAAGTTGATGACAGTATTTTGCCTTTCTGTGGGATTTGTGTGTGTGTGTTTTCAGAATAATTTGTTTTTACCCTTGTAATACATTGGATGTTTGTATGTTTTTGTATTCATCATTTAATATTGGTTGTATAACTAAGAATGCAATATCTTAAAAATAGATGAGGGCATGAACTATATTTTATTTATTTTTGTATTACTGATTAACACAGTCCCTCACACTGCTAGGCATCTGCCTATTGAAATTGAAGTAGCTTATCATAGAAAAAAATGCTTACCACTTAAGAATTTGCTTTATTTCCTTTTCTAATATAGGTTCAAGCTGAAGTCCCTGGATCTCCTATATTTGTGATGAGACTAGCCAAACAATCTCGTCATCTGGAGGTACAGATCTTAGCAGATCAGTATGGCAATGCAATCTCTTTGTTTGGTCGTGATTGCTCTGTACAGCGCAGGCATCAGAAGATTATTGAAGAGGCACCTGCTGCTATTGCTACTCCAGCAGTATTTGAACATATGGAACAGGTGTGTTTTAAAAAAAATCAGTGTACTCTTTTCATTAGGGACAAAGAAGAGAAATGGTTTGGGATCTTTAATCTTATTTTTTGTTTTTTTTAACAAGCTCATGGTAAGCAAGTAGTTCCATTTTCTAGATTGATTGTCGTTGAATCTTCAGATGAATTTATTCAAATCCATTCTCTCTTAAAAGGTCCTCTAAATTTCTTTTTTTGTTTCAAAGATTGGCACCTGAGCTAACATCTGTTGCCAATCTTCTTTTTTTTTTCTTCTTCACAAAGCCCCGCAGTACATAGTTGTATATTCTAGTTGTAGGTCTTTCTGCCTCTGCTATGTGGGACGCCACCTCAGCATGGCTTCATGATTGGTGCTAGGTCCCCACCCACGATCTGAACTGGCAAAATCTTGGGTCACCAAAGTGGAGCGTGCAAGCTTAACCACTCGGCCACAGGGCTGGCCCCCCTCTAAGTATCTTTAAAGTTTACATATTCTCTATTTTTGTATAGAAAAGAATCCCCCAACAGTTTTGCAGGGTCCCTTGGAAATAGTTGTAGTTTAGAGGTCTGAACATGGTCTTTTCTGGAATTGTGACTCAGTCTTCATTTTATTGGAGACATATTTTTCATCTCTTTTTTCTCTTGAATTCTAAACAAGCTAAATATGTGGTCATCTGTGTTGGAAGTTTAATTCCTCTGTGTGTGTGTGTGTATTAAGATGTATTCTTTAACTGCTTTAAGAAAGAGGCCTCCAAAATACAGTGGATTAAACATGGTGTAAGTTCTGTTTCTCTCTCTCATCATAGTTCAAAGATGAGCTGGCGCCAGGGACCCAGGTTTATTGGTCGGCCATTCACTAGAAAAGGGTTAGCAAAATACAGCTTGTAGGCCAAATCCAACCTACCACCTGTTTTTGTAAATAAAATTTTATGGGCATATAGCCATGCTCATTTATGTATTATCTATGACTGCTTTGTCACTGCTATGACAGAGTCGAGTAGTTGTGACACATAGTATATGGCCCACAAAGCTGAAAATAATTACTGTCTGGCCTTTTCTTGAGAAAGGATGCCACCCCTTTCTCTAGGGTCTCATCATCTTCCTGATTAAAGCTTGCTCACAAGAGTATGTTTACATTGTAGTCTGTGAGAGGGAGAAAAGAAGGACATGGAGGGCAAGCATATAAAAATATGATCTAGAATTCACACATATTACTTCTGCTCACATTCCATTGGACAAAATTCAGTTACACAATCACACCTAGTTGCAAGAGATGGTAGGAATTGTAGTCACTTACTGGGTGGCCGTATGCTCAGCTGAAATTCAGGAGATTCTGTTACTAAATGCAGAGAATTAATGATGCAAAGAAAAATTACTGGAGAACATTTAATAATCTGCCTCAGTCTTTTCCTCTGGCTCTGCATTATTCTTCCACACCCTTTTTCTTTCTTTAGAACATACTTAGCCTTTCCCCAAAGAAGACAGCCCAAAGTCCCATCCAGTTATTACGTTCAGTTCAAAGTCCAAAATATCTACAGTCCTCTCCATTAAATGTGCTTGTGGCTTTTCATGGGCCAGTGACCTGAAATATAAGTTATCCACTGCTTGTCATTCCTCCTTCCCCGATATACCTAATATACAGTGGTAGAACAGGAAGAGGATAACTCCCATTTAGAAAAAAGAAGAATGAAAAATACACAGTAATCATTGGTCCATAGCAGTTATTGAATCTTTCTAGGCAGAAATTGTGGTGATTTCCTGCCATGTCATGGAGTAATACCTTAGTTAGCCCTCTGGCTGCCCCTGGTTCTCCTCTCTGGAAGTAAATCCCTTGCCCATCATCCCAAGCACCTGGCTTGGTTCTCTAGGAAGTTCTTCCTTGTTCAGTTTTCTCTGTGATTGGGTTTTGGAGACCATCCCTTCTTTGGCAGAGCTTTCACAGGTCACTTCGTGCTGGTGCAGGATTGGGCCACAAAATTTATGCTAATTATCTGTCACAGGCTTTTGAAGGCCAGGTTTATTATTTGTTTAGAAATACAATTTGTTCAAAACTTAGTAAGGTTCTGGACTATTTGCTTCCAGTCTGCTTGAGGGATGAGTGACCACACTCCACGATTTCTAGATAAAATAACTTTTTCTCTTTTATTTGATCTTTGACATTGGGTTGCATTGGGGTGAGAATCTACTTCTAGTTTTGGAGTATGAAAGCTGTTAGTTTTTTCAATTTCTGACTTTCTAACCATTTTTCTTAGGGCTTAGTTGGCGTGTTATCAGCATTCCAAGTTATTGTAGGAGACAGTTTACCAAATGTTTTGTTATAACAAGGAGGCCACCAGCTTTCCAGTTTGCAGCGTTTCCTTGCTACCCACTACCTCATTGCTAAGCCAGCATCACATATTTTCATTTTTTTTAAATAGCAGCATCCTACCCAAATTTCATAATTTGGTTAGTGTACAGGTTAAGCTGTTGTAATAAAGAGATCCAAAAAATACAATGACCCAGATATGATAGAAGTTTATTTTTCCTTCCTATCATAATCTGAGGTGACCTCTCCAGGGCTGGTAGGACAGTTTTGCTCCCTGAGGCCATCTTGGGATTCGGGTTCTTTCCGTTTTGTTTTAACCATTCTTAGTATGTTCTCATTTGCATGGTTGAAACTGGTTTGTAGCATCATGACCATATTTCAGTCCATAGAAGGGGAAAGCCAGACATAGAGGACAAGCAATTTCCTTTTCAAAAGATGATTCAGGGATTATGCATATCACTAACTGATGCTGATATTAAATTGGTCAAAACTTAGTCACCAGCTATAAGAGATGTTGGAAAATCTAGTCTCTAGCTGATCGCCATGTTTCTAGGAAGACTACTAGGAATGCTGGAAGCTAGAGCTCAATGAAATGTCTTGTTACAGTATTGTTTTGCCTGCATGTACTTATGCCTTATAGGGTGAGGTTGCCCATGATCCCAAGTGAAAAATACTGTTTTCCCCCAGCTTTGATTTGGCTTTGTCATCCATGACCAGGGATCTTATGTAATAATCAGAGAGGGTGAAATTTATTTTCATGTCCTAAAAGCCTTTGGTGGTCCTTATAAACACAGGATATTTGAGTCAGGGAGAGGCTATAGATAAGCAGTGGTCCACCAGCTGGACAAATGAGATATTTACATTTGTTTATCTTTCTTCTTTGAGTGTGCTGTGAAACTTGCCAAAATGGTTGGTTATGTGAGTGCTGGGACTGTGGAATACCTCTACAGCCAGGATGGCAGCTTCTACTTTCTGGAACTGAACCCTCGGCTACAGGTAGAGCACCCTTGTACAGAGATGGTGGCTGATGTCAACCTCCCTGCAGCACAACTCCAGGTGAGTCACCCTGATCTTGGCCCAAAGAGTTGCCTAGAGAAGTTCTGAATGTCAGAGATGCCTGAAAAACTGGTTTAACCAGTGTCTTATAAGAGAAAAGCACCTCTTAGCTGAGTCTCATGTAATGTTCATCTCTCGTGCCGTGTGGGTTGTGATGTGTAGGTTGGTTTTCCTGATGTCGTACAAGTCTAGGAATATTATTATATTTTTTATCCAGACACATCTGATTTAAACTGTCATCTTTTAGAAAAACTTTCAAAATAATATGCTTTAATCAGTTGTTTTAATTATAGAAAACCTTGCAAGTTTGTAATTGTCCTCTACACGTTTTTACTGGTATTCTATATTGGAGCAATTCCACATGAGAGTGATGATCAAGGTTTTTCCTGGCAAAACTGTGGCAATACACATTTATATTTATAGTATTTAAAGTGGTAGCTGTCAATATTATTTTCTGCATTCAGCTCAGGAAACAAGTGTTAGGGGATGCAGTAATAGCTAATGATGAGGTTTGATATTATTTGTGTCTAACATATTCTTTGGGACATAACGTAACATTGGCAACCTCTTCTAGATTCCAATTAAGGACTAAAGATTGATTGATTGATTGACAGATTGATTGATTGACAGATTGATTGATTTGATTTTTTTTTTCCCCCCAGTGGTTTGTGGGGATAATTATGAGGTAGTTATGATATAGTTAAGACTTTTTAGCTGTCTGAACTTTTTGGATAGCCATTGACACTGACTCTTCCCTTGGATGTTTTCATTCTGATCCCTTGATGGAGAAATGACAATCGAGGGAAATTCATGTCCTATTGCATTAGGAATTTGGAACTTTTTAAGGAGTGGGAAGTATTTAGCAACTTAATCTGCAGTGACATATTTTGTTTCAAGTAACATAGAGTTACTAATTCAATGGTTGTAGAATACAATCTATAAAATTAAAATGTTTTAGATGGTGGCTACTAAAATGAAAAGCCTTGTAGGTAATCTGATAGCCTACACATTTTAAGGAAAGTAACTGTGAAAAGTGAGTGATGTGTGTTTTATTACGTTTTAGATTGCCATGGGAATCCCTCTATACAGAATCAAGGATATCCGTATGATGTATGGGTTATCTCCCTGGGGTGATGCTCCCATTGATTTTGAAAATTCTGCTCACGTTCCTTGCGCAAGGGGCCATGTTATTGCTGCTCGGATCACTAGTGAAAATCCAGATGAGGTAACCCATCACTTAAAAGGTTTACACTTTTATTTTTCCTGTGAACTTTAATATTAAGATAGTATCTGAGGGCATACTTCTGAAATATCTTGGGGCTTCGTCTGGGGAGGGAAATTTATGAGGTTTCATCAGAGCAGACAAGTTAAGTGATCACTCTTCCATTGGTCATTTAATCCTACTTTAGTTTCTGTAGAGTCCTCAGTGGGTTTGTAGCAGTGGATGTTGGCTCTCAAGTCTTTATGATTATTGTGCATAATTTTGTTTCTGCTTTTGTATGTGATTAACACAGAGCCTAAACAATGAGTACATAAATGTTCTCTTCTTTGGAAATATAATACAGTCTCTCATATTCTTCATTCTCTAACAGGGTTTTTTTTAATTTTTAATTTTTTTCCCTGACAGGGTTTTAAGCCCAGCTCAGGAACAGTTCAGGAACTGAATTTCCGTAGCAATAAGAATGTTTGGGGTTATTTCAGTGTTGCTGCTGCAGGAGGACTTCATGAATTTGCTGATTCTCAGTTTGGTCACTGCTTTTCCTGGGGAGAAAACAGAGAGGAAGCAATTTCGTGAGTATAATATCATTTGATTGCATTTTTAAAAATAAATTTGTGCTAATCTTCAGTGAAGATGTGAGCGAGGGAATGAGACTCGTTTATCTGCTACAAAAGTACTGTCATGGACAACCTTTTTGAAGAAATATATCTTCGGTTGTACTTGCGTTAATGTTGTGTTAAATTATGCAGTGTTTGGCAGAGGTTTTTCTTTTTGTTGTTCTGAGCCTTTTCAAGTATTTCTGCTTTCAAATATTTTTGATAAACTTATGAAAATTATTACTTTAAAGACATCATATTTCTCCATAGAAACAATATTGTTATTGGAGAGAGGTCGATTCTTGACCAAGAGTTTGGCATCATATAAATCACAGATAAGATCTGTTATTAGTCACCAAAATAAAGGTATAGCTGTAAATGTCCTATAGTCATTTAAAATAATAAACTGAACTGCTTGTTATATGAAAATGGCATAAGAGAATTGTCCACATTGTTTATATAAGAGAACTCAGTGTCCAATGAAATATATACACAGCTTATACAAATATAACTAATGTATCATAAGTGTTATTAGTTAATATTGTATTAAACATATACAGTAAATTAATAACAATTAAAAAGTAGGGCTCTAGGGGTAGTTTTGACAGTTTAGGTATTGTAGAATATCCAAAATTCAACTAGTTCCTTGTATTTTTTAATTGTCTGTTTCCTTCTAAATGCCTTCCTGTGGCATTTAATGCCATTCCTTTGACCTTTGAACTATACACATAGACTAGCAATCCATAAGTATTTATTAATAATATTGGTCTTTAATAATCTTTTTAGAAGTAGGGAAGTCTCAATTTTTCTCTATTTTGTCCTCTGCAATTCTTCCCATTTATTCAAAACTGTAAGTGGAATTTTTCAAAATTAAAGCAGTGCCACCAGAAAAACCATCTGGTATAAAGTTGCCCTTTTTTTTTCTTTCACAGCCATATCCTGCTTTGCTCAAGTGAAGAAGGTTTACGCTAGAGCTTGCAAATCAATGACTTTCTGACAAGTCACAGCCACAGATGTGTTTTGATTGGCTTACAGAATGTTAATTTTTTAAAATTGCCCATATTTAAAAATTGGGAGATGGAAATAAATATATGGATTTCTGCCTTCTCTGAAAATAGGATGATAATGACACTGTTGGTTTTATATTCCACTTGGCAAAAGTTAACTGAAGCTTTGTGTGACTGCTTCTTTTAATTGAGAAGCAGTAAAAGTAATGAGCAAGTCATTCCATAGACGTCGAAAATGCAGCTTAAAAAAAAACATTCTAGGGGCTGGCCTGGTGGGATAGTGGTTAAGTTCATGCCCTCTGCTTCAGAGGCCTGGGGTTTGCAGGTTTGGATCCTGGGTGCAGACCTACACACTGCTCATCAAGCCATGCTGTGGTGGTGTCCCATATACAAAGTAGAGGAAGATTGGCACAGATGTTAGCTCAGGGACCATCTTCGTCAAGCAAAAAGAGGAAGATTGGCACAGATGTTAGCTCAGGGTCAATCTTCCTCACCAGAAGAAAACAAAACAAAACAAAACTCTCACATGCAGTGTCAGGCTAATACCTGACTGTACCCAGCCAGTTGCCTCATTGTATGGAAACCTTTATTTTATTTTATTTTTTTAAGGAAGATTAGCCCTGAGCTAACTGCTGCCAATCCTCCTCTTTTTGCTGAGGAAGATTGGCCCTGAGCTAACATCCGTGCTCATCTTCCTCTACTTTATATGTGGGACGCCTACCACAGCATGACGTGCCAAACAGTGCCATGTCTGCACCCAGGATCTGAACTGGCGGACCCAGGGCTGCTGATGCAGAACATGTGAACTTAACTGCTGTGCCACGGGGCCGGCCTCTGGAAACCTTTAAATTAAAGTATTAGCATGTGTCAAAATTCATTGAATGGTATACTTAAAATAAGTATGTTTTATTGTATGTAAATTATGCCTTAATAAAATAAATAAAGTGTAAGGAGAGGAGAATTATGCCCTAATTCTAGTTAGCAATAAACAAATGGAATAATGGAAACCCAGTAAGTGAAAGCTGAGGATAGTTTGCACATAATTCGTTCTGTACTGTGTGTAATGAAATGTATGTGATTTGCTGGTGCACTTAGGGTAATACCAGAATTCATAAGTTTACTGGCTTCTTGCAAATTCTCCTATCTGGAACACACGTAATGAACACACTTACGTTTGTACTGTCATTTGTTCTTGGAACTGTCTGTCTCTCTCTCCTCCTTCCTAAGACTCCAAAGGAATGAAACGATTCTTTAAAATGATTGAAAAACACTAAACATTTGTTGCTAAAACAGATCTGCCTTTGTTCTTCTCCCAGAAACATGGTGGTGGCTTTGAAGGAGCTGTCTATTCGGGGTGACTTTCGAACTACAGTTGAATATCTGATCAAATTGTTGGAGACTGAAAGCTTTCAGTTGAATAGAATTGACACTGGCTGGTTGGACAGACTGATAGCGGAAAAAGTACAGGTGTGTGTTTCTCTGTTTGCAGAAACAGCTTCTGGGATTGGGGATTTTGTTTTTTTTTTTTAAAGATTGGCACCTGAGCTAACAACTGTTGCCAATCTTCTTTTTTTTTCTTCTTTGCTTTTTCTCCCCAAATCCTCCCAGTACGTAGTTGTATATTTTAGTTGTGGGTCCTTATAGTAGTTGTGGCATGTGGGATGCCGCCTCAGCATGGCCTGATGAGCAGTGCCATGTCTGCGCCCAGGATCTGAACCTATGAAACCCTGGGCTCCCCAAGCAGAGCGCGTGAACTTAACCACTCGGCCACGGGGCCAGCCCCTGGGATTGAGTTTTTATAGACTTGTTGTATGATCAGTCCATGTCACTAGGTAAAATTTATTTTATTCTAATGTGAGTGGTTTTTGATCTACTTGGAAAAATTTAGGAGTTAGTGTAATTTTAGCGCTGTAAGAGTTCTTGCGCCTGTGTTATGCAGTCATTTTATATGTTCTAGTGTTACTTCCTGGGATATATTTGAAGAGAGGAGTGTAGGGATTGAAATGCTTTCTCTTTCCTCATTTGATGCTAAATCTGGTTCAGTTACCAACTTTTACATCTGTCTACCAAGTGCTAATGAGGGGCTTCATTTAAATCGACAGAGTTACCCCTTGTTCCTGAATTGCTGGAGTATTCTGAATTACCCAAGATTTTGTATAAAATCATTAGATTCACGTAAATTATCTGAAGGTCCAAATTTTGGTTATATACCATTTTTCTTTGAGATTATCAATAGCCAGATCTGTACCTTTTTGAATTTATTTCTGACAATAGCTTGCTTTTGAGCTGCTCTTTGATTGGCTCAGTGGAAATCTTGGGGAGAGTGAAGGGGAAGATGTTTTTCATCTCTGTTCAGGTGAGGCCTCTATTCAAATTCTAAAAGTAAATGTGTTTTTATCTAAAAAATCAGTTTGGGGCATAAGACTGGAGGGTCTCAATACTGTCTGTTTCTTCACAGTATATTTGAGCCTGATTTAAATTGAGGGGCCATGGTGCCAAGTGACCATGCTTTTGATCTGCTCTCTTTTTCTTCCTTGTAGGCAGAGCGGCCTGACACCATGCTGGGCGTTGTGTGTGGGGCTCTCCACGTGGCAGATGTGAGCCTGCGGAATAGCATCTCTAACTTCCTTCACTCCTTAGAAAGGTAGGCTTTGTTTCTCACAGACTGTGCAGGCTGACTGATGGTCCTGAGTGCAAGACTAAAGTTCAGAGACCCATTTATTCATTTCTCTGTTCTTGGCAGCTTGTGAGTGCTACCTGTTGTTAACTGACTATGGGGCAGGGGAGAGAAGGGATATAGGATTTATGGCAAATTATTTTAGAGTTCTAACTTCTGATTCTAGAAATTAGCTTACACCACAATTAGAATAGGTTGCTTTTTAAAAACTGGAATCCAGCTGAAGTAAACATTCAGTCCTGTACAAGCATCAAATCTCTTCGAACCTGGTGATGAAAATCTGGTATTTTTCTCTTACTTTGAACCCTGAATATGTCCTATATTACCTGCAACACCTTTCAGGAATTAATACTTGAGGCTGATATTCAAGATGGCCTCATGAGTCTTTCAAGTAGAGGATCAGATGGTATGGGGCTAAACTAATTTCTAACACTGGTTTTGGAGACTAAGCTGTGCCTTTGAGTCCCAGGAGGAATTTTCCAAGAGGCTAATCATTTTAAAGCACTTTAATCACAGGCACTTTATTTCCTTCTGTGTTGTTAGACTTATATCAGCTCCCATTTGAGGTGTCTAAAAGGAAGAAAAGAAACAAAATTTTAAAAATTGAACCAAGATTTCAGTTATTCAAGTCTTACGATAAATATCTTTCAACATGTTACTCTCATGGACTAAAACCTTCAGCAGCTCACATTAGCCTTCTGTATCAAATCTAAATCCCTCAGTGTGACTTTCAACTCCCTATAGACTTCGGCCCTTTTTTAGCAGTCGAGTCTTACTTATTTCTGTTTCTCAACATGCAATCTCTAACCTAGTTAAATGGTTTTCCTACTGGTGTACAAATGTATCACGTGTAATCTCCTCTACAAGCTCCACACTCCTTTTTAACATGTTTTTTTCAGCTTGTATTTTTAAATAGTTTCAGACTTGTAATAGAAGAGTTGCATGAAAGTACAACTTCTACATATTCTTTGCTCAGATTCTCCGATTATTAACAACTTGTCACGCTTGCTTTATCACTCCCTCTATTATTATCAAAAGTCTTTCTTGATAATATTTCCCTCCTTGGCAGTGTCCTTCCCTTTCCCCTCTTCCCAGCCGTGGCCTACTGCCTTTTGTTTTTTTAAGACCCCAGATAAAGTCCCAGTTTATAGGAGTAGGTGAGGGTTGATTATACTGGGGCTTTTTTTTAAGTTTTAATTTTGTCTATTTTTAAAAACAAGTAATATATTCACATGGTTCAAAATTCAAAAGGCACGAAAAGGTATATAGTGGAAAGTCTCCTTCTTATCTCTGTCCCCTGGCCACTCAGTTTCCTTCCCCTTAGTCAACCCATATTACCAGTTTCTTCTTTAACCTTCTAGGCTTATTGTAAACTTATATAAGCATATATATGTAATATTCTTCTTTCCACCTCTGTTTTTTTTAAAAGATAATTGGCAGCATACTCTAAAACTGTTCTATACAATTTCACTTGCTTTCTTGACTTAACAGTGTATTTTAGAGAGTATTTCATGTTAGTACATAAGACTTCATCTTTCTTTTTAATGACTGCATAATATTCCATTACATGGCTTTTTCATAATTTATGTACTAGTCCCTTGCTCATGGTCCTTTAGGTTGTTTCCAGTTGATAGTCCAGAAAATGCTCTAATCAATAACTTTTGAGATTCCCTTATAAACTTTTAGAACTTTCTAGAAGTGTCTCTCACATTGTTGTTCTTTCAGGGGTCAAGTCCTTCCTGCTCATACCCTTCTGAATACAGTAGATGTTGAACTTATCTATGAAGGAGTCAAGTATGTGCTTAAGGTATGCTGAAACCCACTGAAGCCTACAGCTTATTTTTTCTCTCTCTTTGTTAGCTTGCTTTCTATAGGTCAAGAGACAGGAAGAAAGTTTGATTTACTGCACGGCTGGGTATTAGTGAAGTTACGGTCATTATTTGTGTCAGTAGCCTGAAGCAGTATGATTCTATGAAATATTTAAGTTGTTTCTCAACTTGACTTCTGCAGCCAAGCGTTAAAGGGGACAGAGAGCAACCAGAACAGGGAGAGGAAGCATCTAAGGTCACCCTATTTGCTTGCAGCAGGGCTGAGCCATGCCCGCAGACTGATGCTAAGAGCACCAGTGCCGTGAATTTTCTTCTTCTCTGACAGACCTTCCTTACCTATATCTTTGAGGTATTGAATTTTTTCTGAGACTCCACCTGGGGACACACTGACTGTCCCTTCTGGTTCTTGTTCCCTATAGGTGACTCGACAGTCCCCCAACTCCTATGTAGTGGTCATGAACGGCTCGTGTGTAGAAGTAGATGTACATCGGCTGAGTGATGGAGGACTGCTCCTGTCCTATGATGGCAGCAGTTATACCACGTACATGAAGGAGGAAGTGGATAGGTGAGTGGCTGTTTGAGGTCCATTTGCTGGTCATTGTATCACCCTTTCCTCTCAGCAGTCACTAGCTCTTGGGATTTTTCAAGGCCTTTTTTGGTGCTCTTTTTTTTTTTTTTTTTTTTTTTTAATATTTTATTTTTTTCCTTTTTCTCCCCAAAGCCCCCTGGTACATAGTTGTATATTCTTCGTTGTGGGTCCCTCTAGTTGTGGCATGTGGGATGCTGCCTCAGCGTGGTTTGATGAGCAGTGCCATGTCCGTGCCCAGGATTCAAACTGATGAAACACTGGGCCGCCTGCAGCGGAGCACGCGAACCTAACCACTTGGCCACGGGGCCAGCCCCCGGTGCTCTTTTTTTAATTAAAAAAAGTGAAACAGTACATGCAGTTACCAAAAATTTCAAGAGTACAAAAAGTGTTTACAATGAAAACATTGTCTCTGCCACTCCATATGAGTAGACAATGAAAAATAACTTCCCCTCTTTTTAAGCAACCGTTGTTAACAGTTTCTTGCTATGTGCATATGCAAGTTACATATATGTACATATGGTGTTTTCTTTTAAATACATTCACAAATAAAAATAACCTTTAGATACTGTTCTGCACCTTATTTTTTCCCTTTAAGATATGTTGTAGACTGTTTAACACCAGTCGTTCAGTATTGTTGTGATATTTAAATGAGTAAATGTGTAAAGTGCTTAGAACATTGCCTGGGACATAGTAAGGATTCAAGAAATGTTAGCTATTACATCATCATCATCTTCCTGTTTTTTGTTTGTTTCTTTTTGCATAGACGTACTTGTTCTTTTTAATGGTTGTATAGTATTGCATTATATGGATGTATCATAATTTATTTAATCTGACTCTTATTGAAGGAAATTTTGGTTATTTGGCATTGTAAAGAAAGATAGAATGGATCTTCTGTGTGTGTGTGTGTGTATGAATAAAGTTTTCATATTTTTTTTTTTTAAGATTGACATTATTCTACCATTCTCCTTTACAAGCTGAGGTGCTTTATTGGCTTACGTACTCCCACTTATATCCTAGATATCGCATCACGATTGGCAATAAAACATGTGTGTTTGAGAAGGAAAATGACCCTTCAGTGATGCGCTCACCTTCTGCTGGGAAGTTGATCCAGTACATTGTGGAGGATGGAGGCCATGTGTTTGCTGGCCAGTGCTATGCTGAGATTGAGGTCAGGGTGGTGATTGGACTTTTGGGTCATGGGAGGGAAGGTGGGAAAAGTGTTGGCTGGATTGGACTAGGACTGAAGAGTAACAGAAAGGAAATAGAAAATAGAAAAGAAAGAACATCATTTGGTTTAATTGGAGTTATGAACCTTAAGATTTTAAAAACAAGTAGAAAGCTCACAGTTTTTCTTTGACAGATGAGGAATCTCTAGCTCTAAAAATAGATACTAGGCAACAGCACTTATTGAGTGTTAGGTGTTATGCTAAGTGCTGGTTGCACAGAAAAAATATGATAGGTGGAGTGGGGTCGCAAAACAGACAAGTAATGAAATGTGAATTCTGAGAGAGCTAAGCAAAAAGTGCAGAGGGCTACCTAACCCACATCAGTGTGGGGCTGGGTAGAGGTGGGTGGATAGTAAGGAAAGACTTCCTGAAAGACAGTCTTTGATCTAAGTTTTGAAAGATCGATAGTAATACACCAGGTGAAGACGGACAGGGAAGAATGTTTAAAGGTGAAGGAACAGCATGTACAAAGGCAGGAAGCTAGGGAGTATGGTATATCTAGGGAACTGCAAGTACATATTGGTATTGCTTGAGAATGGACCAACGTTTAATGGGAAATGGCAAGCAAAGATGCTAAATCAGTAATCAGAATTTGAGATTGTGAAGGACTTCATAAGACACACTGAGAAGTTTAGACCATCCTGAAGACAGTGGGGATTATTGAAGGATTTTACACAGAAAAGTGATATAAGATTTGGGGTCTAGAATGATTGCTTTTAGTGACTTTCTTGGAGGTGTATACCAGGCAGGGAAATCTGTTGAGAGGTTTTTGAAGTAGTCTTGACCAGAAATGATGAGGGCCTAAACCAAAGGGACAGCAAGAGAGGAAGATTTTTGAGAGAGGTTTAGAAGATATACTTGGCTGGGCTTGGTAGTTGGTAGATAAAGGAGAAAGAGGAGTAAAGAATGAGCCTTAGGTTTTGGCCTGGATATCCTAGGTAGATAGACAGAGTGAGCACCTGGATCCGTGAGTGTGAGGAGGCTAAGTTGTTCATCACTTCTAAGTACCAAATAAGTACAAACACAAACTATGGCAAAATGGATTTCAACGTTAGGAACAGGAAATGTCAGTAGCTGTCATTAATCCCTAAAGCTAGTTCTGAAAAATTTTCTAATTGCCTTCCTTTGTAGTCTGGAGGTTTTGATAGATTCCCATTTTTCTGGATTGAATTAGATATAGTCCAACCTAGATGCTGAGGGAAAAACTGACCTGTTTAAATTATTCGTCTGTGTAAAGAGAGGTCAAACTCTAATTTTATTTATTTTTCATTGTAGGTGATGAAGATGGTAATGACCTTAACAGCTGCAGAGTCTGGCTGTATCCATTATGTCAAAAGGCCTGGAGCAGCTCTTGACCCTGGTTGTGTAATAGCCAAAATGCAGTTGGACAACCCCAGCAAGGTCCAGCAGGTGAGCAGGAAGGTAGTTTTAATATTGTTCTCCAAGAGCTGATTACATGGCGGGTAGTTTGGAGGAGCAAGTGATATTAATGCTTGGTTTGACAGTTTTTCTTAAACTTTTTCCCCCGATCTTATGCCTTGTATTTGTGCCTATAGTATTATGGAACTAGAGTTTGCAAGGGTTACTATAATACGAAGATTCTGTGATTCCCTCATGATGCTTCTTCCATTGACTTTTCCTTATAGTAGGGTATGGTGAAGGGATGTCTTGATCTTGAATGATGAATCTAAGTTGCAGTGGTGTGTTTGTACCCTGAATAGAAGGTAGTGGATGACTTGATCTCTCATTGGGGTTGACAGGCTGAGCTTCACACGGGTAGTCTGCCACGGATCCACAGCACAGCACTCAGAGGCGAGAAGCTCCATCGAGTGTTCCACTATGTCCTGGATAATCTGGTCAACGTAATGAATGGATACTGCCTTCCAGATCCTTTTTTTAGCAGCAGGGTATGAATCATTTCTCTTGGGGAAGGGACGTACAAATAAGGTACCTGTTCTCCAAGATAGTTTAAAAGTTGCATAAGAATTTTTTTTAATAAGGAGGGAAAGAAAGCTATTTGGCCTGGAACTCTCCCATATTTAGTTGTGGGATTTGATGTCTTTAAATCCTTGCTTCTTAGCTGTGTCATTGACTTCACATTTAATTGCAATTTAAACCAGAGAACAAGGGCAGTGTTAGATGCTTATATTGCAGTTTCACAGTAAATACTATATAATAGTGAATTCAGATATATCATTTTATTTGGGTGATTATGGTAATTTTGTCTGGATCCTATTTTATTATTTCCTTCTCAGGTAAAAGACTGGGTAGAGCGGTTGATGAAGACCCTCAGAGATCCCTCCTTGCCTCTCCTAGAATTGCAAGATATCATGACCAGTGTCTCTGGCCGTATCCCCCCGAATGTGGAGAAGTCTATCAAGAAGGAAATGGCTCAGTATGCTAGCAACATCACATCTGTCCTCTGTCAGTTTCCCAGCCAGCAGGTATTTATAGAGTAACACTGTCATTTTCTACCGGCTACCAATGCTGGAGTTCATGTTGTGGGATTCCTTCCTATTTGCATCTTCCTTACTATCTGAGTGTTGTGCTTTTGCAGTTTTAAGCATTTTGCCCTTCGCAAAACTGCCTCAGGCTACAAGCCCAATAATGAAAGTGCTGTTTGTGAAATGTAAAGTATCTCTGGTTATGAGAAAAGCATATTGGCCACGTACTCCATAGAGGTTTGTTCTTGGGGCTATGCCCTAATTAGAGGTATTTGGGTGAGTTTAAAGTAGAGGGATATTCATAGTTTTATTATCAGACTTCCTTCCTACCTCAGCAGCATACCTACCCTTTGCCTATAAAGCAAATTTATATTTAGAGAGTAAAGCTGGGCAAGTGGGGAGTAAAGTTTGGACCTTGACCTTAAGTGTATCTTGCCTCTCAGGGCCTCTGGTAGGATGGTAGTTTTTATGATGCACTCTTTAGTTCATCTGGGAAAGAGTGAAAAGAAAGAAAAGTTGCTTGCTTATTTAACACAAGCCCCTAAACTATGTCCAGTAACTTCTAGCTGCTCCCAACAAGTGAAAGATGGTAATTGTCATGTTAAATTATGAAGATTCCTAGTGGTGATGCTATACAAGCTAATGTTTTGGGTCCCTTCATTGAGTTGGGCTTAATTTTTTCCCTTTCTTATGCTTTAGATTGCCAACATCCTAGATAGTCATGCAGCTACACTGAACCGGAAATCTGAGCGGGAAGTCTTCTTCATGAACACTCAGAGCATTGTCCAACTGGTGCAGAGGTACTTACATGTAACTCCGGATTCTCAGACCTGTCCATCCCCATACTTTCTTTTCTTCTAAGTAGTCAGGAGGAGATTCGACTTAGAGAAATTAGGAAGTACTTGCATCTTAGAAAATACCTTATTATCTACTAAATATCTTAGACTTGTGAGCTAAAGCTAACGCTCATACTCAATATTTCTGATGACTCCTTTCTAATCTGCATCTTTCTGTCAAATATTAAGGCACAGAAATTTCATTGTTTTCTTTTGCCTTGCAATTTTGCTGAAACTCCTAATTTTTCTTCTGGCACAGGGCCCAATGTGACATTTGTTCTTAGCTTATGGAGCCAACTATTGAATTAAAGGAATATTCACAGAACGTTTTCAACTTTCAGATACTTATAAATTTTTCAGATATCTCTTAGCTATTTCAAGGGTATGGTAATCATTTCTACCAAGCAGTGGGAACTTACCAAGGTATTGTTAGGTAGGGCTATCACGTGGGTTTCTTTGTGTTTTTTTTTGTTTTTTTTGAGGAAGATTAGACCTGAGCTAACTACTGCCAGTCCACCTCTTTTTTGCTGAGGGAGACGGGCCATGAGCTAACATCTGTGCCCATCTTCCTCTCCTTTACACGTGGGACGCCTACCACAGCATGGCTTGCCAAGTGGTGCTGTGTCCATACCCGGGATCAGAACGGGCGAACCCCAGGCCGCCGAGAAGCGGAACGTGTGAACTTAACCACTGTGCCACCGGGCTGGCCCCTCACGTGGTTTTTTATTTTGTTTTGTTCTCCTTTTTTCTCTTTTTCTTTAGAAAAGAATCTTGTCTATAGCCGGGTTTCTTTTAGGCTTGAAATTTAAATTAATCTGGTTAGTTGATTCTAGGCTGGCCCCTGTCCTGCCCTATATTCAGAGGGAAAGCAGTTTGGTAGAAAGTCTAGAAAGTAAATCTGGGCCCCAGGTTTATTGTTTAATAGTCTGTTATTTAGTAGTGTTAACCTCTCAGGTTTTTCAGTGGAGACTTTTTATGTTTGCCTAGGTACCGAAGTGGCATCCGAGGCCACATGAAGGCTGTGGTGATGGATCTGCTGCGACAGTACCTGCGAGTGGAGACACAATTCCAGAATGGTAAGCCTCTTCCTGAGGACTCTGTATCTGAGACAGTTTCTCCTTTACGACTGTGCAACAGCTGAGCTAGTTCATCCTGTCACTAACATTTGTCATTGACGAACTGTCTCCTTTCACCACTCCCTTAAAAACTAAACCTCCATATCCCACGGGTGCCAAAGAAAGAACAACAAAACACAACTTGATGAGCTTATGAATTCAGTGTGCTTCTGGGAAGGACCTGAGATAATTTTTCTAGTAGAGATTAGCATTCACGGTTGATGTCTTCTTGATCTTGTGTAGTGAGAGTTGGTTTATTCATGACCAGGTTGAAATTGAGAAACCGTATCTGAAGAGCTTGCCTCTCAGCAGCTAATCCATGGATTGGACCATAGGCATCTGAAAAAGGCTCAGATTTTCTAGTATTTTTTAGTGTATCATTTAGGTGGAATTTATCCCTGGCTTTCTCTGAAGAGCTTCACTAAATGATGTCTAAAGTTTCTAAATGTGAAACACCCTGGCTAAGATGTTAAAGGTACATATTGCTGATGTTGCTTCCTGCCACAAGATGGCAGTGAAACACCATAGAATTTGAAATATTTTCTAATGTTTTCTTCTATTTTGATCCCTTTTACATCCTTTAAAGGATGGCTCTGCCAATCATAACCAGCAAAAATCCTCAAGTAAATATGAGCAAACTGAATCCAGCAATATATACAATATCAAAATCAAGTTTGCTGTATCCCACTTTAATTAATGCAAGCCTGATTAATATTAGAAAAACCATTTAATGTAACTTATCATTTAATAGATTAAAAGAGGAAAAAGTGTGGTCATCATCTCAAGATATGGGGGGGAAGCATTTAAGAAATTTAATATCCATTCATGGTAAACTCTTGGCAAACGAAAAATGAAATGGAATTTCTTTAATTATGTGAAGATCTTCCACAAAAAAATCTATAGGATACATACATCATACATAATGGCAAAATGTTGACAGCATTCTTCTTTTGTTTTTGAGGAAGATTAGCCCCAACATCTGCCAGCAATATTCCTCTTTTTGCTGAGGAAGATTGTCTCTGAGCTAACATCTGTGTCCATCTCCCTCTACTTTATATGTGGGACGCCTGCCACAGCATGGCTTGATAAGCAGTGTGTAGGTCCACGCCCAGGATCCGAACCGGTGACTTTTGGGCTGCCGAAGCAGAGGGTGCTCACCCAACCACTAAGCCACTGGGCTGGCCCTCCGAAAGCATTCTTTTTAATATTAGGAATAAGACAAGGACACCTGCTATCACTGCTTCTATTCATTGTCATACTGGATGTCTGAACCAGAGCAGTAAGAGAAGAAAAAGAATTAAAAGGTACAAGGACTGGAAAGGAATAAGGAAATAAACCTTCCACTATTAGATATGATATGATATCTACCTGGAAAGCCTCAGAGAAGCCACGTATTTATTATTAGAATTATTTAAAGTATAACAAGGCTGCTGGATATAAAAGTTAATGTAGAAAATTCAAATGTATTTCTTTATGGTATAACTGTTGTTTAGAAAAGCAATTTAGAAAAATATGTCTTTTAAAACAGTGACCAAACTGACCCAGTAGCATAGTCGTTAAGTTTGCATGCTCTGCTTTGGCGGCCTGGGGTTTGCTGGTTTGGATCCCAGACGCAGACCTACCCACTGCTTATCAAGTCATGCTGTGGCAGGCGTCCCACATATAAAATAGAGCAAGATGGGCACAGATGTTAGCTAAGGGCCACTCTTCCTCCGCAAAAAAGAGGAGGATTGGCAGCAGATGTTAGCTCAGGGCTAATCTCCCTTAAAAAAAAAAAAAAAGGCAACCCAAAGTGAAACACTAAGGAATAAGTCTAACAGAAAATGTACAAGCCTCTTTTGGAGAAAAATTATAATCAGTGGACAATAATCAAGAAGACCTAAATAAATATTGTGGTCTTAGGTTGGAAAATACACTTGCAAAGTATTGATTCTCCCTGAATTCATCTGTAGATTCAATCACATTCTGATAAAAATCCTAGTAGGATATTTTCATGGAATTTGTCAAGCTACTTCTAAAATTTGCATGAAAGAAAGGTTTGACAATAACCAAGATACTTCTAAAGAAATACAAGGTGGAGGGATTTGTCCAAATATCAAGATTTGCTATAAAGCCATGTTAATGAAGAGATTCTAATGTTGGTTAATAGACCAATGGAAAATAGCAGCCCAGAAACAGATCCACACATATGTGCAAACTTACTTTATAACAGAGCAGACATTGTAGATCATGAGGAAAGGGTATACTTTTCAATAGATGATACTGTGACAATGGGTTATTCATTTGCAAAACCGAAGAAGGAAATTGGATCCCTACCTTACACCATACACACAAAAATCAATTCCAGATAAGTTAGAGACTTAAACATGTACTAAAGAGGCAAAACTACTAAATTTTTTGGAGAATATCCTCATGACCTCAGAATAGGAAAGATTTTGTCATAAAAGACACAGCAAGTGCAAACTATAAAGGAAAAGGTTGATTAATTCAACCCCACTTAAGAACTTCTGTTCATGAAGAGATAATAGACTGAAGACACAAGCCACAAAGTGGGAGAAAATATTTACAAAACATATACCTAACAGAAACATTAGTACCTAGAATCTATAGAGAACTAGTGTGAATCAATAAGTAAAAGACAACCTAATACAAAAATAAACAAAAGATATAAAAAGATAATTCACAGAAAGGGAAACACAAATGATCCACAAACTTATGAAAAGATGTTCAGTCTCATTACTAATAAGAAAAATGTGGACAAAACAACAAGGAGATTGGCAAAAATTAAAAAGTCACATGATCTTCTTTCCCTGTTTCTGTAATTGGAAGTACAAATTTCTAAAGTGCAGACCACTTTGGAAAACGGTTTATCAATACTTAATAGAGGGGAATTTTTTAAGACTCTTCAACCTAGCAATTTCACTCTTAGATAATATATCCTAGAGAAACTCTTACACATGTTATTAGGAGACATATTCAGGATTCTTGTGGCAGCATTGTTCGTAATAGCAAAAAAGATAGGAAACAATCCCAAAATACACAAGTAGAATAGATAATTGAATTCTAGCATATTTCTACGATAGATTACTATACAGCAGTGAAAATGGGTAAACCAAGGTGCACATGTGAACAAAAGAATCTCAAAAACGTAACGTTAAGGGAAAGGAACAAGTTACAGAAGGATCCATACACAGTGATTCCATTGTTATCATTGAAAAACAGGAAAATGAAACTATATATTTGTGATAAAAGTAAAGAAAAAAGCAAAAGAATGATTAGCATAAAATTCAGCTTAGTAGTTGTTTCTGAAAAGGAGCGCATAGGATCCTTCAAAGATACTAAAGATACTCTTAACATAGATGGTAGTTACATGGGTATTTATTTTATTTTTCTGAATGTATATTTCACCATTAAAAGTTTTTAAAAAGAGAACATGTGGTATCATTACTTGCTTTCTGCTTAGTGTCTCCCCTGCCTACCCCAGGGTAAATATTCTTTTTATTTGCCGTGGTCCTCTTAATTCCTGTTGCCAAGATCTATTTCTGTTCTCACTTCAAAGCTAAGTCTTGGTCAGGAAAAATATGAATTCATATAGGATAACCAATTTTTAAACAGCTTCTATTTTGTTCTAGTTTCATTTTGAAAAAAAAAATCTTATGTCAATCTCTAGTATTTAAAACAGATAAAAGCAGAGTTGACCTGATTGAATGTACTCAATATTCTAGGAATCCATGGTAATGCCACTGTTCTGATTTGTAACTTAATATGGAGTCGGAACTGAAGTGGTAATCCTTCCCTAGTTTCATAAAATTCTGACTCTTGAGGCTATTCAAACACTAATTCTCCTTTACTTGGAAACTTAATTCTGAGGTACAGTGTTTTCTAAAGAACTGAATATTGCTTATATCCCACCATAGATATTACTACAGTATACCTGAAGCTTATGCTTCTGTTGCAAAACATAGCTTTCCCAGCCAGAACTAACCTGCCCCTGGTGGCCTTATGAAAGACCAGTGAAAATATACATAACTGTACTCTCCCTACAGACCTTTTGACTTAATGCAAGGTTCTCCTTGATCTATGCCTTAGTGTGGATTTGGAATTCTTAAGTATTGCTTAGCTGTTTTGTGGACTTAACAGAGGAAAATGTTGATTGCGGAGGTAGCAGCCATCCTTCTTGAAGATATTAATGATTGTTTATATGGTTTTATTTTTGCTAAAACTGTTCCTTCTACTTAGGATGAAACATTTTCAGTGAGTCACACGTGGAACCAGAATTGCAAACTGGGGTATACTCTAAAGATCATCAGGTTTAATGTTATTGACATTTCTTGTTAAGAAGCAGAATCCTCTTTTCTAAGGAGATCATTCCAGGGAGCTAAATGAGAGGCTCTAGAGTAAGGGTGGGAGTTAGAGTTATCCGCAACCCCTCAGACTCTAAAGCACACCCTCCCTTCACCTCCCAATGTTTTTTAATGAAAATGAGGCCAAGAGAGGTAAAGTGATTTGCCCAGGAGCACATAGTAAGTTGGTAACAGAGCTAGGCTTTGAGCCCAGGGCTTATACCAGATTGCCTGACTCCTAGTCCAGCATTCTTTTTCCTAAACCACGCTGCCAACTCTGTACAAATCCATCTAAGAAAATTCTTAAGGTGTTTGTTCTCACTGCTTATCAGGTCCATTATAGACCTATTAAAAACAAATAAATGGCATGTAAACATGAATATTCATACATGGATGAGGACCATTTCTTTTTGTTACTTGCAGGTCACTATGACAAATGTGTGTTTGCCCTTCGGGAGGAGAACAAGAGTGACATGAACACTGTACTGAATTATATCTTCTCTCACGCTCAAGTCACCAAGAAGAATCTTCTGGTCACAATGCTTATTGTGAGTATCATTTTTCAGAACCTTTAAGGATGGTTGATGGAATGAAAAAGCATTTCTTCTCATGGCTGTGGTCAGAGAAAAACGCCTGTCTTTTTTTGTTGTTGTTGTTAAAGATTGGCACCTGAGCTAACAACTGTTGCCATTCTTCTTTTTTTTTGCCCCCTGCTTTTTTCTCCCTAATTCCCCCCAGCACATAGTTGTGTATTTTTAGTTGTAGGTCCTTCTGGTTGTGGCGTGTGGGACACCCCCTCAACGTGGCCTGACAAGTGGTGCCATGTCCGTGCCCAGGATCTGACCCAGCGAAACCCTGGGCCGCGGGAAGCAGAGCGGGCGAACTTAACCACTAAGCCATGGGGCTGGCCCACCTCCTGTCTTTTATAATTGTGGGTTGAGTGGTACTTGGGTTGTGCATTAACAGTTTCTCACATCTACCTTTGTCCTTGACCTGAAGGAACCTGCTCTGGGGGGAAAGGATTGATCTGGCTATTTTGCATATAGTGGTGCACAGGAACTCAAACCTCTTCACTCTACTTAGAGATGCCCTGTGCTTCTCCATTCCTACTTTCACTCATGACAGTAGCTTTAAAATTTAGTCTTATCTAGCCAGTGTACTTTTTCATTATAACTCTTATTTGTTCCGTGAATATAAGCAATGGCTCTCATGTCCAAAACTTAAAAACCAAAAACAACTGTTAGAAATCCAGTACTGTCCCTCCTCTACCAAAGAAATTTAAATTTATTATGGGCTTTTTTTGTTCCCTTTCTGTTTTATTTACATGGAAATCTGAGCTTCAATTATTGTATTGGTAGTAGATACATGCTTTTATCTCCATAACCTAGTACTATGAGAATTAGTAGAAAGTAGGAAAGAGAGGTGAGACTAGTAAATGTGAATAGGACTAATGTACATTTGACCAGTGGGTAGAATTTTTGTGGGCTTGAGGATTTTTAAAGATGATTTGTAAGTCCTTCACCGCTAGATTTTTCTGGTTCAGTTAATTCTAGGAATCAGAGAACAATAGGACTGACTATTCTTAGAGTCCCCCACCCCATGAACAATTGCATGCTGCTGCGTGTTTGTATTTTTGAGGGGCGTATGGTACCTTTTTGCTCCTAGAGTTTCCTTTCTTGTCCCTTTGTGGAATTGGCATGTTTGGTACTTTAATTGCATCATTTCTTTTTGGAGGAAGAAAACTAAATCTTCACTGCTTTTTTTTTATTTCATAGTTCAGAATGAAGGGAAACTATCTACCTCACATCTCTGGTTAGCGACAGTGCCACTCACTGAGTTATCTGCCTAGCTGGTTAACTCTCAAGGATATAACATTTTTTAGAATAGCCACTTTTAAAAATATGTAATTACAGGGAAAGTTCATTACCTTTGCTACTGTAGAAGGGCTAGATGGTGGGGAAAACAGAAGATGCATCTGAAAGGAAAAAAAAATATCAGCACTATGTAATATTTCAACTTCCCCAAGTGACAGAGTTCAGCAAAGAAGTGATACAATCTATGACAACTTGCTATTTTTTTTCCTCAGTCAAAAGAGGGAAGAAATTTCTGACTAGTTAGATTTTTTTTTTTTAATTTTAATACAAGGATTGCTAATTCTCATTTGGATAAAGCCAAGACTTTCTCGCAGAAAAGGGAAATGATGAGGAAATGGAAGAATCTGTCAGTTTGGACCTAAAATGGGGTGGAATTTGCCTTTTTAGGAAGTTAATTATGGTGAGTTTTCGTTTTATTATGATTACCTTTTTAAGGACTTAACAGTTTTCTGCACTAAAAATAGACCAAAGCCCAGAATCCTTGGAGCAGCAGAAGAGTAATGATCGTCCAAGACTGTCGCTGGGTTTCTTAAATTCTAATTTGTAAGATATAGGGGCTCGGCTCGCTCCTTTTGCGGAGTGATTGTAAGTAACGCTTGCCTTAAGAATCTCATTATTGGAACACGGAGCCATATTTCCTCTGAGAATTCTGGAGTAGCTTTGAGCCGGGGCTGTTCATTTCTCAAGTAATCACGTTGGTGTGATGGAGAGAGAAAATGGCAGCTGTTCGGAGCTCAGGCCTTCAATTTTCTTCAGAGTCCAGTCACTCAAGTGTGTAATTACACGGGGGGTGCTGCAGAGGCGTTGGGCCCTGTCAGAGAACTGGTTTGAGGCTTTGCTTTCTGCTTTTGCCAGTCAGGACAGGCAGAAGCCAATGGGACTCTGACTTGCTGCTGTTCTTTTTTCCCCCACCCTGTCATACTGATTACTTCTTACCTGCATGGATAGTACCCAAACTTTCTTTCCAGCAGGCTGAACTCTTTGGAGAAAAGAGCTGTTTGTTAGTGTTTGGGTTTGGATGAATAGGATGAGGAAGAGAGGGGGAGGGAGAGGAGGAAGAAGGTTGAAGATGTGAACCAGAAAGATGGATTTGTCCTTTTCTTTTTTCTGGCATTTCACATTTTTCTTTAAAGAAACTCAACAAAACAGTAAACATAATAGGCTCTGTAGGTTTTCATATAATTAAATTTCTTTTGAAATATCAGTTATTTTCACCTCATCTTAGAGGATTGGAAATCAAGAAGTTAATTGATATGATTGAGGGACAGCTAACAGTGATTTACGGAGCAGGGATGAAAGCTCAAAAGGTGCTCCTTTCTGATCTGATATTACTGAATACCAGACATGGGCCTCCTCTTTTCTTCTTTGGCAATGGTCAGGTCCCCCATCCCCACCTCGCGTCTGCGTTAATGGTGGTACTAGTCAGAGCCATTTTAGTTGTTTGGATTATTCAGTTTCTGTAGGTGTTACTGTCTTTCACACGTATCACCTGGACATGGTAGCATTTGTTTCCCCCAGCTTGGGCTCTCTGTTGGTTCCCTTTTCTTTGCTTACCTTGCTTTCCTAATTGATGATTATGTGCCTGGCATTTCACTCTCTGCTTTCTAGTAAGTAGGAATGTTGATGGTGTGCTTTGCTGAGCTAGATGATTTTTTCTGGGGCTTTTGAACCTAGAGGAGAGGGATCAAGAATATCTGGCTTCCGTGAATCAATGTTATAGAAGATGGGTTGCTCCAAAGAAGCCTTCGTCACTTCTAGGTACTAGCATAACTTGCCTGGTGGTAACTTGCCTCAAGGACTCTCAAACATATTTCTTCTAATCTTTCACCCTATGTGGAATGCAAGAGATAAAGTAAAATGCATAAATCCTGTCCAGTTTCCTCCATTTGGAGGAACATCGTGCCACAATGAAAAACAAAGTCTGAAAGACTAATGGTAAGTGATTTGGGTGTTTTTTTGTTTGTTTTTATTTTTTTGCTGAGGAAGATTCACCATGAGCTAATACCCTCTGCCAGTCTTCCTCTTTTTGTATGTGAGCTGTCACCACAGCATGGCCACTGACAGATGAGTGGTGTAGGTCTGTGCCCAGAAACCGAACCCAGGCCACTGAAGTGGAATGTGCCGAACTTAACCACTAGGCCACTGGGGCTGGCCCAAGTTTATTTTTTGAAAGCTCTTATATCTTAAGTTTAGTTTTATAGGAAAAAGTTAGAGCTGAGAACATTGTTTTTGTTTATTTAGAGATATTTAAGGGACTGTTTAGCCAAATTAAGCAATTTCTTTTTCTTTTTTTAAAAAAATTTTAGTTGTCCTTTTTCTCCCTGAAGCCCCCCAGTACATAGCTGTGTATTTCTAGTTGTGGGTCCTTCTGGTTGTGGCATGTGGGATGCCACCTCAGCATGGCTTGATGAGTGGTGCCATGTCTGCACCCAGGATCCGAACCGATGAAACCCTGGGCCGCCAAAGCAGAGTGCGTGAACTTAACCACTCGGCCACAGGGCCAGCCCCCAGCAATTTTGTACCAATAAAAAGCATCAACATCCTCATAGCTGTCTAGATAGCAAAGTACATAGCCGATAGCCACTTTGATGCTGAGAAGTCTTCCCCTCACTACTTATATCTTATTTCTGGTATGGTCCACATGATATTAACTGTGCTTCCTTATGAGTAGTGACATGCCTAGGAGCCTCTGATTTGATTTAGACAGGGAGCATTTAAAATGCTGATCAGCGCCTTTGCTTCCTCCCCTTAACATGACTGCAAATAATTTTGTCCAGTGTGTAAGTAAAGAAAAGTCTTTCTCAGTGAACCCAAGTTTACTGAATAAGTGTGATTATAACAATTTCTTGTTAAATCTGTCCCATGACATCCTTAGAATGTCAGAACATCCAGCTGTGACTGGAAGAAGCTGCCAGTTCATTGCTGACACTGGGATTAGTGCCTCACCCAGCTGAATAATAGTTACTGTCTTGAGAACATTATACATTAGGTCACATTCTCTACATTTTGAATTGCCTTCAAATCTTAGTATGCTAAGATGAAATTGGACTATATTGGGCTCTTCTTGCAGTCAACTGTATAACTTTGGCTATGGATTTGACACTTAAGCATGTTTGTTATAATTCTGCAAATCTGAACTATTCCCTGTGGTTAGGCACCATCCAGGTTAAGAATAAAAACAAATAACTTTGTGGTACTAATCTTAACTGTTACTGAATAATAATTTTTACTTCAGCCTTCAGATTTATGCAAGTGCCCTGTAATCCCAAAATCAGCAGGTAGGCTCATTAAACGAACCTCCTTATGTTGAGGAAACACATCTGCTGACATAGTCGCCGTTTAATGTCATTGTTACAAAATGTCCACCAGGATTGGATGGTGACGTTGGGCTGTCCAGTTCCCCAAAGGAAGCCTGTCACTAGGATAGAGGGCTGTAAGCTTCCTTTTTGGATGTTTGCATCTTAGGATGGGTGGTTCTGATGAACAGAATGGTCTGCCATCCCCTGGTGGTTTCTTTCAGCACGTAAACACTCTGTCTAGGTCAAGGACAAGAGAGGATTGCGAAGATTACTGTACACATAGTTTTCTATTGCCAATCTTTTTCTAAGTATTAATGACAACAATGGAGAAAATAATATTTGAAAAGAAAATTTCCAAGTCAAGATAAACTAATGAAATTAGTGGTTTATTCATACTCTGTTTGATATTTCGTATCCCAGAAGGATCTGTTTTTTGAACTTTATCAAAAGGAGCCCACAAAGATTGTCAGTTGGTGATTGTGAATGAAAAATTACTTCTATATTATTTTTTCTAAAGTCCATGGTTCACTTTTCTTACAGACACTGTTTATTTTTCCCTACCCTGTTTCTCAGTCCTTTTTTCACATAGTAGAAAGATGAAACGGAAAAATGGTTTTTAGAAAAAGTAGTTTTGTGTGTTTTGTTAAGTTAGAACATGATCTGTAGTTAGGTAAGAGGATAATGCCACTTTTATTTGTTTGTTTTAGTTTAATCTCAAAAGGTAAACCTGAATTTCCTTTCAAGGGAAAACATTCTATACCAAATCTGATATAGGTTGGGTAAGTGGCGAGTGTTCCTATACTGTCATGTTGGATTTTGTTGTTAATGTTGAGACTTTAATCTGGTTATTTGCCAAGTAGCTGAGTTGTATTATCCAAGACCCTTTTTAGGTTTTTAGATCTTTCAGTGGATCTGATGATTGAAGTAAGTCCTCAGAAATGAATGTTTGTTCTCTATTAGGAACATTAGGTAAAGAGGGATTTCGGAAGAAAGAACTTATCTTGGTTTCCCTACCTGCTGTTGTCTCTTCTTTCCTTTTGTGTTTTTGTGGTCTTGTTTCTGGTGATTTTATATATTCCCTTGAAATTCTGTTTTGCTCATTAGATCTCAACAAAGGTGAGACTGAATTGCCTTTTCTCCCTCCTCTTTGCTTTTATGCCCTAGGATAGGTGGAAAGGTCCTCAAGTCTGTGACTACCTGCTCAACCAAACCCTGGATTCATACTCATTTTAATAGGAGCTTATCTTCTTCCCACTCAGATGAGTGAATTCCCTGCATTAAATAGGTGAAAACAATACTTGAACTTTCTTAAGTATAAATCCCATCATGTGTTTTACAACTCTGGACAGTTGGAGCAGACCACTGGTTGGTGGATTGGCGAACCAGAAAGTATTTCCTGCTTTAAAATGTTTGAGAAGCCTTCTTTCCAGCATAACAGTGTTGAGTACTCCAAAACTCTTTACCCTGTGGTGTGGACGGTAGTAGGGGTTGTGGAAAAAGTGTTTTGGGAAATGCATATCTTCCCCCAAAGTCCCAAGATTTTATTTATACTACTGTGGTAGAGGACTATAAAGAGTCTCGCTGACATGGGGAAGGTTAAGTATGAAATGGAGGTTCTTCAAGAAAAAGGCTGATAATCGAGGTATAGGGAAGATTAAAAAGCAACAACAGGAAGCCTTTTGAGGTCTGATCATCTTTCATGTCCTGTTGATAGTAGAAGGAGAATGAAAATTCACTAAAATGTAAAGGCAGTTATTTCAAACTGAGTAGAAGGAACTATACCTAAACGTGTGTATTTTATATGGTGTGGTGTTAAGAACTACTACTACAAATAGCTCTGTAAATTTCGAAAAGGACAGAAGTTTGTGAAGACTGTCTGCTTTTTCAGCTTAGATGAAAATTACATGGATAATGGATGAATTTAGGGAATAAACTGATATTCCACTGGAGAAGAAGTATTTTTCTCAAAATAAGATACAGATTTTTTTCTTAATTTTTAATTTTTAGGAGGGTAAGGACCCAATACCGAATACACTATGGATAAGTAAGAGCTTGGTTTTTTCCTTCTAATTCCTCTAAGGATTCACCATGTTTAGATATCATGGAATGACTCTTGGTACAGCAAGAGGATAAATGATTTTGAGTTCAGAATTGTCAGAAAATAAGATGGTGTTTTTATTTAGTGTGTGTTTATAAATGAATAACTTGTTCTTTTGTTTCTGCTTTGCAACCTTCTGAGGTGCTGAATATTTGGTTTGTGGAATGAAAACCACCAGAAGTGGTTCCTTTTGCCTTATTCTGCCTTCTTTCCAAAAGTGGGGGAGGGAACAGAAAAGCCTTTAGTCCCTAGATTATTTAAAACCTCTTAAAACTTTGATCGTCTGTTATTTCTTACTCAGAATCCCCTGACCCCTTTTAATGGTCTCTGATGGTTTCTTCTGCATGTTAAAAGTATAATGTTGATTTATAAAGAAATACATTAGGAATTTTGAATCTGAGTGACTGAGGGATTTGGGCTGCTTCTCTTTAGCAGCAGCTTCCTCTGGGATCTTCTTTACCACATTATTTGGGATAAAAATAGCAGAACGTTTGCATTTTCTTATTAATCCAGCTATGTTCAACTTTGTTTTTATTCGCTTTTCCCATTTCAAAGTCCTGTCCACCTCAGTTCTTTTTAATGTGGATGTGTATGTTCTTGTTCCACGTTAATAATTAGGATCAACTGTGTGGCCGGGACCCTACTCTCACTGATGAGCTGCTGAATATCCTCACAGAGCTAACTCAACTCAGTAAGACCACCAATGCCAAAGTGGCACTTCGAGCACGCCAGGTAAGGGCATGTATTGGTTATCTTGGGAGAGGAATGATTTTCATAGATTGGGCAGTCCTAGAAACAATTAACTTTTACTCAATCATCTTACAAAGATCATGCAGTTTTCTGTCTATGTCTCATTGACCTCAGAACAAATGTTTTCATTTGGTATATGTTTTTTAAAGAAAAAGGAAAAGATTAACATTGAGTTTTTTAAAATAGCAGCCCTTTCCCCATTATAAAATCCTGTTTTTGTTTCCTACCCTTCCTAGTAGCTCTGTGATAATAAACCAGAGCCATGTGGAGGAAAGGAAACTGAGGGAAGGCAATAGACTCAATATTTCTTACTTCCCAAAGGGAGTTTAGAAGTGCTGAAAACTTTTAATTGTATAGGAAAAAATCAAGTGTGGAAAGCAGAAAGATGATGAAATCAATCTTAGGTGATAGCAATCAGAACAACCCCAGAGAAGTCCAGTTAGTTTCACCCTGTAGTCTTCATATCCATTCCAAAAGGTTTCAGCAGGGAAGCTGAGTTGGTGCTCCCTTTGTGTTTCTGTGCATGGGCATTGACAAGGAAGCAGCATTTGAAGCTGTTCAGTGACCTTCTGCTTTCTCTACAATTGTATCCATGTCACTGAACTACTACAAGTTATTGAACCTCTCAGAGACCTACTGAGAGTGTTCAGGTCCTACCGTGTGTCTGTTTGTTTGTGACACTGCTTTCACTCTCTTGCCCATCACATGCATTGGTGTTACATCCTGACGCCTTCTCCTTGGTACTGAGTACCTGGGGCTGTCAGAGCAGCTTTTCCTAGTCTTTTTTTTCCACTTCAGAGTTGCAAAAGGTTAGCTCTGCTGCATCCACCTTCCCCACAGCTGCTCCCTGCCAGACCCGATTCCCAATTAACAGCTAGTCATGCAGTCCCCAGGACTAGCAGCTTTGCAATGGTAAATCACATGCACTGATGGAACTTGATTGAAGCTGTTTTCTCTCCCCTCCCCCTGACCCCCGTGGGAAATTGCCCACAACACAAATCATGGTGAGTCAACTGAGATGCTGTATTTGGTGGCATTGGCTTTATGTTACAGGACCTAGAAGTTCTTTTACTTGGTGTCTGTTTTATCTTTGATGCCTGCACTTACAGATTTATATTTATTGCTTTTGTATCAGAGCTGCCTAATAGGAGCCTAGAATAATCACTCCCTCGGGAACTTATGCCTCTTATTTTGCTTTCACTCTAGGTTCTTATTGCCTCCCATTTGCCATCATATGAGCTTCGCCATAACCAAGTAGAGTCTATCTTCCTATCAGCTATTGACATGTATGGACATCAGTTTTGCATTGAGAACTTGCAGGTATACATACAATCCTTTTCTCCCACTCTGCACTCTTGTCCTGTTTATTCTCAAGCAAGTTTAATTAAGTAATCAATCAGTCAATTTTTACTTTCTGTGTAATGAAGTTTCATACCTTAACTTTCTAAAATAATTTATACTTATGCATATTTTTTCATAAAAATTGCTGTTAGAATTATGGTTTAGCTTAAAAGTAAAATAGGCCTGCCTTGATAGAAAGTGTTCTATTGAAGTCTTTACCTCTTGTGCTTTTATTAAGGAAGTATACTAGGCCAGAATTAAGTGGTAGCACTGGTTGATTTCTGATATTTGAATCAGAAGTATAAATAGGTAGTTGTTGGTCTTCTAAAGACAAAGCTACTTAAATATCATTTAATTTTATTTTAATGTTTATTATTAATCTTTATATAGAGCCAATTTTGTAAAAGAATATTGACTAATTTTACTACTAATTGGAAGGGCTTTGACTATTATTTTTTAAACAACATCATGTTCTCAGGAATGACTTTCTATTTTCCTACCTGGAAATAAGGATAATATTGTTATATCTAGCCAAGAGAATCTTCAGGCTTTCTGTCAGATTTACTTCTGGGGAACCTAGAGAGGGAAGAAGGATGTTTTTGTTTATTTGATTCATTGTTGAAATATAGGGTTTCAACTGGGATTCAAATCTCTGGTTTAGCATGGTGGAATATTGAGAAAATATTTAAGAAGTAGAGTACAGATATATGTCAGAAAGGATAATAATAGTCATAAGCACCTATATTAGTATATCATTAATGTATTGTTAATGCACTGTTCTAAGAATTTTACATATATTAGCTCTTTTAATCCTCACAACCAGTCCTATGAGAAGAGGTATTATCATTTTTCCCATTTTGTAGCTGAGGCACAGAAAAGGTATTCATACATGACATTCAAGGACAAAATTCTTGTTTCACTAAATGCTTCAAATACCAAATATTGTCCATTGAAATTGTTCTCTTTTGGATGTAATGGTTTAAGCCTGCCTTTGTACCTTCCAGAAACTCATCTTGTCTGAAACATCTATTTTTGATGTCCTTCCAAACTTCTTCTATCACAGCAACCAGGTAGTAAGGATGGCAGCTCTAGAGGTAAGCTTTCATAGTAATGTGACATGACCTGCTTCTTGGTTTTTAGCTGATTTTCTCTGTTTGCCTATGATGTGAGTCCTTTTTCTTTGGCCTTAATGTTGGTTCTTAAGAGTGGAATCTTCTTTTCTTCTGAAATGATAAAGACTAAACCATGATCTTACTTTACTCAAGTGTTTCATTTGAACTCATCACCAGCTTCTGGGCTCCAGTCACAGGAAAATAGCTGCCAGATTTTTTCAATAGTCTACTTTCCAGGTATTTGAATTCTCCTATTTCATAATGAATTAGGATTCCCTGTAACATAACAAATGAAAAAATACATGGCTGATCAAAACATGTACTGTTTTGTGGTTTGGGCCAAATAAAATGGATTTTAGTTATATTTGAAATTGTCAAGCAGCTCTTATGAACTATGTCGTCATGGGAAAGAAGGTAATAATGTTTAATGAACTGTGTTTTAGGTGCTTTATTTTCCTCATTTAATCCTACACTTACTTTATGAAGTAAGAAGAGAGTGAGACTCTGAGAGGTTGTGACTTGTCCAAAATCTCATAGATAATAAATAGAAGAGTTTGCATTTGAAGCTAGGTCAATCTGACGCAAAGATTTTATGTTTCCACTACAGCACATTACCTCATTAAGCACAAAAATTGCAGGCTCCGAATACTACTGTAAAATTACCAAGTGATGTTTTTTTGAAATGAGGAAAAGAATCTAAATGTTTTTAGATTATTTTATGTAATATGACATCACTATAATCTGTTGCCAGCTCTTTTGGGTTACTTTTTATTTGTATTCTATGGGTAGAGGGTAATGTATCCTACTCAGTAAATACCAAATTTTTAAAGTATCTGTGTCTTACAATGCTTTCATGTCATTTAATGAGACCTCTCTTTATATACCTCACATGCTGGTAGAATCCCACATAGCATTTTATGTGCATGGCAAGTTGGCTGTGAAGTGCAAGAGGTTGGACTGATGGTTTTTGCTGAGATACAGCCTGTTGCTGTTTCTTTAACTCTTGGGTCAAGTTAATGTTTTTGAGATATTATATGTCAAATTATGCCTTACTGCTTTTGCCTAGGGTTTAAGGGGATAAAATAACCTAAAATTGATTTTGGCCAGTTAGAAAACAGAACAAAACAAAGATACAAGATGGTAAAAGAGTTGAACTGTACTACGATTGCTTCTGTCTTCTCTTTTCACTCCTTAAGTGGCCCAGAATCAGCACCTCCCGTTTTCTCACTGTTTGCTTTTATCTTCTGTTGAAATGATCGTGCTTAATGAGCTAATGGTCGTGGTTCTGTATTCTCTCTTTCGCTAAAGATCAAACGTTCTCCAGAGTTTAGGTTAGCGTGAAAAGTTTACCACACACCTAGATGTGTCCAGCAGAGAGAGGCTAGTTTTGTTTCCTTTTATAGTCATGGGTATAGTTTTAGACTCCAGTTTTATTAATTAAAGCAAGGTGTGTATGCACAGAGCCTTGGGACTTCTGTCACTGCAAACCACCTTCTTCTGCATCAGATACCTCTTTTTAAGACTGTCTTTTTCCTGGGCTAGCCATCTCTTAGTTTCTGCTTTTGAAGTATATTTACTGAGGATTACTTTTTAACCAGGTGTATGTTCGAAGGGCTTATATTGCCTATGAACTTAACAGTGTACAACACCGCCAGCTTAAGGACAACACCTGCGTGGTGGAATTCCAGTTCATGCTGCCCACATCTCATCCAAACAGGTGAGTTTGAGCTGGTCTGTGCACCTGAGCCAGCCAGAACTCTATCAGGAGAGTTGAGGGGAGTAATGTGTATGACAGTTCCTTGTTTTTTTTTTAGCTAGAAATGTAGAGCAGAAAATGAACAAATTTAAACCATTAGAGAAGAGTCTCTTGGTGCCCACTTCTTTTTTTTGATCTTTGACCTGGAGAGAGAAAGTATGGACTAAGATAAAAGTTTAGGATTAATCCATTCATTTTTTGCTTGTATTATGTCACTGAGGAAACATAGTTCTTTTCTTTCTTTTAAGTTAGAAAGAATTTATTAGCATTTTACATGCTGGGAACTTTGCCAGAAAATCACTTTGTTAGCAGTTTAAGTTAACAGTTAGAATATAAAAATAGCTTGGGTGGGATGCTTTTCTTTTCTGTATGTTTGCTATGGGTTAAGGTTATACCTGAGCCAATTTCATTATCTCCCTAAAAACAGACACCTGAATTTAGCCGTTGAAACTCAATCAGTTTTTAAAAATCACACTTCAGAAGCAAACGTAAATCCAAGTAAATTACTTAATTAAGCCCTGCTGATTCCATTATTCTTCCCTTCCTAAGCCCTTTAAAAAATAAAATATACATATGGAAATTTGTTCCAGTATTGCTTTGGTTTTAAAATGAAAATACTTTATCTTGTATACTCATTTTTTAAAAAGTATTCTGAGGCAGTGAAAACCTAGGAATTCCACCTACGCAATATGTTCATCCCCTGCTGTATTTTCATTCTTTTTAGTAATACCACAGGAAATATAAATACCACAGCCAATCTTAAGCTGCCCCCCTCCATTTCTTCTTTATGGCCTTTGGTTCTTCACTTTGTATTACAAGTACTGTGTCTTTGGGGATCCTTAGTTATAGACACCAGAAATGGTTTTGTTCTGAATTGCCACTTCACCCAAAGCAATAGAAACCCTTCCTAGAGACAAAGAAGTCTGTGCTGAGACTTTTGGCCACTGGATGCCACTGTTGATCCAGCAGAGGTCAGCAGATGAGCAGAGACATCTTCAGAAAAAGTACTTCTCTTCTTTGTCTCAGAAAATCCTTTCACTTCTCTACCTCAAAAATACCTTATGGCTGGCAGAGAAGCATATATCCTTGATTTAGCAAGCATCTCTCAGTACATTTTTGCCTCCATGGATTTCAGAATCTCATTTTCTAGAAACGAATGGTTGTCCTTCAGCGAGCGGCGAAGTACTCATGGCACACATGGGCTCAGCACTCCGTCTTCTTTCTTTTCCTGCATTCCCTGAATAATTGTAGAGAACTACATGCTATACTGGTGCTCTTTGTAATTCTCAGGACATTCTCCTTTCTCCCTGCTTTCTACTACCTCTTCCCTTTTGGCAGTGATTTGTAATCAGACTGCAGAGCTGCTTCTGATTTCCCTCCCTCCTCATTGCTCCCCTTGTCTTTCTGAATTGCTCTCCCTGTCCTATTTTTTTATTTGAGGATATGTGTCCAGTTTGTTGAGGGAAAGTCAACTGGAAAATGAGAGAAATGCTTCTTAACTGTTTGTTAAGGAATCTTATTTACCTTTCCATCTCTAGCATGTGAAGCTTGGTTATTCCTGATATGGTTTTAAAACTTGTGTACTTGTCCCTCCCAACATCTGAGGTATACACACCTCTATGTATGTATGGATAAAAACTAGACAAGAACAGAACTGTAGTTCTGATCTAAAGTCTTCCTTGGTTGTGTGGATATAAAATTATAAACTGCTGGATTATTATTATCATTGTCATTATTTGCATAGATGTAAAAGTGAAGATTAGGGCAAATAAAGAAGGAAAGATAAGATAATCTTTGTGAAAATCAGAAAAATATTAAAATTGCTTTAAGGCTTTTTTAGATCTAAAGTCCTTTTGTTAGTTTAAGAATGTAAAATGTATTATTAGATTTAATCACAGAGTGATATTCAGTGTTAGAGTAGAGCTTATTCACTTATTACTGATTTGCTACTTGAATTTCATTTTATAAGATTTTATATATATTTTTAAAAAAATATTTTTGTTACAATTTGGAGTTATTACCTTATTCTGACACCAACTGCAATTCAATTCTGACACTAACCACCTGGCATTAGATGCCACAAGTTATGGGCTCAGTTCTCCAAAAACTGCCCCTATTCAGATAGGGCCACAAGTGGGGTTCCCAGGCCACCCATACTTCTGATCAACTGGCTACAAATTTGGGGGTTCCCATGACCCCCTCAGGTTCAATAATTCACTAGAACAGCTTATGGAACTTAGGAAAGCACTGTACTTACAATCACAGTTTTATTATAAAGGATATAGACCAGGACCAGCCAAATGAAGAGACATGTAGAGGAATGTCTGAGTGTGGGACCTAAACACGGAATTTCCCTTGTTCTTTCCCTGTGGAATCAGGATATATTTTCCTCCTAGCATATCATTGTGTTCACCAACCAAGAAGTTCCATTGAGCTTTACTGTCCAGAGGTTTTATAAGGGCTTCATTACCATGGCATAATTGATTAAATGGTAGGCCGCATGATTAAACTCAGTCTACAGCCCCTCTCCCCTCCTCAGAGGTCCAGCTGGCTCAAAGCCCCCAACCCTCTAGTCACATGGTTGATCTTTCTAGTGAGCAGCCCATGTCCTGAGTTATATCATCTCTTAGCATAAACCCAAGTGTGATCCAAGGGGCTCATGAATAATGAAGACACTTCTATTACTTGAGAAATTCTAAGGGTTTAGAGTCTCTCTCAGGAACCAGGGAGAAAGGCCAGTCAAATTCTTTATTACATGGGAGGCCTGCTCACCTTACAAAAGAATTCTAAGATCTCTTAGTTTTAGTTTTGAGGCAAGATGCAACTTTTTTCTAACTCCAGTACTTTTATTCTTGTCTGTTCTTATTGTTTTGAACAAGCAGGCAGTAAGCATATTGTTTCTTATTCTACAGAAATAAGTTCCAGGAGACTATCTACCAGCATCCATTCTACTCTCAGTCCTGTAAGGCTCAAGGATACAACTATGTCCACTAACCTCTAGATTAATGATTCTCAGAATTATCTGGGAAGTATTTTAAAAATGCACACATTGGGATCCTGACTGCCAATATTCTGATTCATTTTGAACCAGAGGATCACTCTTTGAAAAAGTTCCTCTGATAACTCTGTTGAACTCCTATGGTTGAGAATCACTACTACTAGACCAGCACTGTCCAATAGAAATATAATGCAAGCCACATATATAATTTGAAATTTTCTATTGACTATATTTTAAAAGGGTAATAAGAAACAGATAAAATTACTTCTAATAACATTTTATTTAACCTATTATATCCAAAATATCATTTCAATATGTAATAAAAATTGAGATTTTTTCCATCCTTCATACTAAGTCTTTAAAATTTAGAGTGTGTTTTACACTTACAGCATGTCTCAATACAGACCAGCTGTATTTCAAGCACTTTGTAGCCACATGAACAGCTTGACCCAAGACCAAAAATTAATTTGGACAATCATACTGAGTTTTCGTTGTTTTATGTTAATGGTGGTACCCCTAGGAGAGATTTAAGAAAAATTTTCATCCTTATGTGGCTTGTTCTTAAGTAGTTACAGGACTTATCCACATCTGATACTATAGAAATGCTACAGTATTTTATATGTGCATTAAAAATTATTCTGTGATAATAGAGAACAGGCATATGAATATACATATTTTACTTATCAATGCAAAACAGAATTTTATAATATTTTTCCCAATTGGAATTAGCAAACCAAAAATTCTTGAGGGAGAAAACAGATACATTCTTTAACCAATTTTTTGTATTTTTTCCCAGGCGTTTGGTCTTCACATTCCTAGCCAGGCCTTCATTTGAAGTAGACTAAATTTGTCCAGCACGTCCTTAGAAATGAGTATCTTTCTAAGCTATATTATCAAAGCAAGACTACAGTCTCTTGTTGTGTGGAGGGTCACCTGGTGGAATTCCATTCCTACCATTTGTTTTTGACTAGTAATTTAGCCCCTGTGGGTTGGGATGAAAAATGCCTCTCTGTCTGCAAACTAAGAACAGTGGAGAATTTTTTCAGGAAAATTCCTTGGATGCTGTTTGGATTGAAAACCCATGTCCCATTCGGGCATGTTTTGATTTTTAGAGAAGTAGGCAAAACACAAGCAATTGCCAATGCAAATCCATGGAGCAGCCTCTAAGAAAGGAGAAGACACCCTTTTTTTAGCACATTTAGGCAGTAGGTACATGGCCAACACGTTTGGTGCCTTTTTATTTTTGTTTAAATTCATCATAGGACTTTGTATGGCTTGACTTCTTTCAGTACTTTTTAATAGTTTTATTTTTTTGTGGAAAGAACACTTAACATGAGATCTCTGCTCTTAAATTTTTGTGTACAATATATTATTGTTGTCTTTAGGTACAGTGTTGTACAACAGATCTCTAGCACTTATTCATTGCTTGACTGAGACTTTTGCTTGACATTCAGTTACTCTGTGTTTCAGTATAATTTGACTGTGTTTTTTCCTAATTCTTCTCAATATATTTTTTAAAAAGTAGCGGTTGACTAAACAGTTTATTATTTTTTTTTTTAAAGATTTTATTTTTCCTTTTTGTCCCCATAGCCCCCTGGTACATAGTTGTATATTTTTAGTTGTGGGTCCTTCTAGTTGTGGCATGTGGGACACTGCCCCAGCATGGCGTTGATGAACGGTGCCATGTCCGTGCCCAGGATCCGAACTGGTGAAACCCTGGGTCGCCAAAGCAGAGCGCACGAACCCAACCACTCAGCTACGGGGCCAGCCCCGTAAACCGTTTATTTTCTAATCTCTGTGACTTTCTGCATCATCCTTCTTGCTAGGAGATGGGCTTCAATCAAGCAACGTTATCATATTCTTGATCTTCTGCCCAAGACTTCTGAACTTTTTTATGGGAACTATAGTTGCAAGTTTTTGACATCCGCAGGTCTTAGTCACCAGAGGATCCAATTATTAGAGC